CTTAGACTAGCGGTCACATGGCAACTTGCCAAGTTGAATCCGATCAGTACTAAACAGATCAAATAAACATTAAATCGGTTACCATTCACTGATCAAACAATTTTAAATCATTTTACTACTCTTGTGATGTGTACTACTGATGTCGACAGATATAAGTAGTATGTATCATCAATCAAAAGTAAAATATCTGGAGGCAGAAGGTTAAGGACATAGAAGAAAAGAAAACGAGAACAGTGAATGATTAGTGTAGAAACGAAAGAACAATGAATTCTAAGACGATTGACTGCTATTTTGCAAACAAAGTATTTACTGTATGGTTCTCAGGTTGCATTAAGATGTTTTTGTAATTTTGTGACCAAATATATTCAATTCTCCCCTCTTGTGTTCTTGTTCACTACATTCTTTTAAAGAAATACGATGAAAACGTTACGTGATAACTAATTTACTGAATACGTAAAATTGATCACTTCCTTATCAAACAATACCATAAAGTAACTTGTAAAAACTATAAACATACACACACACACACACCACATACACCACATATAATAGAAACAACCCTTAAAACAGTAGAAAATTAGTTGTGTAATATCAGTTGCTATGTTTAACCCACATACTATCAAATTGTAGTCAGATACTGGGCCATTAAAGTTGAATTCCAATTTTCTTTCTTTTTTTTTCTGTCTATGTTGAATCATTGACATTTTTTTTTATTGTTTAACTATAAAAATGCACTTTGAAATTGAATTTTAAATAAATGATTTATGAACTGCTCATTATCTTTAATTTTTTTTGTGCTCACATAGTGCACACACATAGTAACCAAGAGAGAGAGAGAGAGAAACGAAAAGCAAACAAATTGCACTATGTAAATGTTTGATTTTTTTTATTGTTGACTAAAACAACAAAAAAATCCGAGAAATAATCCACACAGTTAGAATAATGTTGATCTTTGTGGTATAAACCAAGTATTGATTTTGTTTAATGATTTGAAAAGAGTATTATGTAATCATCAGTATGTGGTTATAGTGATTATTAAATTTATGATTGAGATCATGAATCGATTGATAATAGACCATCATTGAAAATCTAGAAGCAATGGACGGTCGTTTCTGCCTAGTATGGGACTCGTCAACGGTATTCAACCAATATCTCATTCGCGGAATTCGAACTCAGAATCTTCGGTCTCATGCTCCAATGTGATTTCATAATATATTTCATAGTTTCTCTTATGTTATTTATAAAATACATATTGACATTTCAGACTATAGACTGTTTAGAAATGATGGAGAGTATGGTTATAAATGGTAAACTATGAATAGCCTATTTATTTTATAAAATAATTCGATAACCACATAGTGTAAGCACGAGCTTGGAGTGATCACGATGAATATTTAGACAATTGTTAGTTTATTAGGCGACAGTTTTGAAAATAGCCGGTTGGGGCAAAAATTTTTATATAATTAATGAATCTATCAAAGTCCCCTGAGCATAATTCTGTTCATAAATCAATAAAACGATGTTATATGAATTCTTCCATACAAATATAGAACAGCGGTTTTCTTGAACTCGTATCTAGCAAATAAAACAACTTTTAGGAGTCTCCAAATTTTTCTTGGCTGTAGTTAGAAATTTGGTTTGGGAATTAGGAGTACAGCGTTACAGAATACAGTAGGAACTTAAGACTTGGGTTAGAATTAAGGGTTTATGTTTAACTGATTTCTTCATTTCTATACTATAATTTAATTAAACCATCTTATATCGTTGGACAGTTATGCTCATTTTTATGATTATTAGTTATCATTCTTGATAGTTTTATCCATCAGCCTAACAACAATTGATTGTTTTTTTTGGTAAAATTGTATCTGTCATGTCTAATAGTAAATTTGGATCAAGTAGACGATAAAAACCTGTCACTTTATTAACCTTCAATGGAAAACGACAATTGATGGGCCTAAAGTATAAGGATTAGTTTGAATGATGAATTCATGATCTCTTTTTATCAATCAAAGCACGAAAACGATAGGTGAATGACCTTTAATTTTATGACAAGAACTCAAACTTTATGACTGAGGTTTAACACTTTAGTATTGAAATAACGTTTAGAGGTCAGTGTAATAAATAACTAAGGTCTCTATCGTAGCAATAACACTAACCATAAATCCTAAGTATCGAAGTTCAATGTGTGAAATTCAGTTTTGATGAATCAGCCATAAACTACCAACAATTGAGTAATTGACAAAGATACCAGTGAACATTTAAACGCCCTCATTAGTAAAGCAAATATTCGATAAACTAGCTATATGAGCAAAAATGGATAGTGGATAGTACCTTTCGCTTCAAACGCCGATTGGCTCTTAAGTCCTGATATCCAATTGCTTGTGCAACAGGGTGAAGTTTAAATACACTTGATACTATTTACTTGAATCCTCTCATTGGTGTTTTTAGGACTGGAGTTGATCAGTTCCGTATCGGCATATGAGCATCCTGTACGTATAGCCTCGATATGGACTTAATTTACAAGCTATTTAAGCAAAGATGAATAGTGACTAGCAGTGAATAACGCGATGGTATTTGAAGCAAATGGTACTGCGTTCATATCCCAGAGTGAACAACTGTGGTTGCAGCTATATGCAGCTGATGAGTCTCAAATAGGATGAAACGCATCTCCTGGATTCCACTGTTAGCCACTATCGATCTTTGCTTAAATAGCTTGTAAATTAAGGTAATATCGAGGCAATACGCAAAGGATGCTCATATACCAATAAGAAACTGATCAATATCAGCCCTAAATATCAATGAGAAGATTCAAGTTAACAATACCAAATGAATTTAACTAACTGTATATATATTAAACAAAGATGGATAGTGGCTAGTTGTGGAATCCACGACACTCGCCACTTCGTCCTATTTGGGACTCGTCAGCTGGATGTGCCTACATCTCAGAGTTGATGTTCACTCTGTATATATTAAATAATCCAAAAAATTTAATCATTTTTATAAGAAAAGAGAAGAAAAAAAAGCATTTTCATGTTCACATGTTATGAAAACTAGAAAAATGATCACCTTTTTTATCCATCACACATGAGCGTAAACTTCCATGATATATAGAAAGAAAACGTTTTGTTTTAACTGTTCATGGATAAAATTCAATTCAGATTTTGTTTAAAAAGAATGTTAAGCACATGTAGTTTGTATCAGAATAAAGACATGACATGTGAAACGCTTACTGACTATTAAAAATTAACTAATCTATGTTATACTGTTCTATGCTCAATATCCATTACTTATGACTGTTACACATCATGGAGGAGAGTAGATTGGTCACCAGCATTCTCCATCTAAATTTATCCTGGGAAATTTTTTCTAGTTGTTTCCAATTGTTTATCATCCTTTTTCATGTCTTTTTCGAATTCCCGATGCTGTGTGTTTTATGACCTTCCTATTTTTTTTGTTTCACTACAGGATTCCAAGTTATACAGTTTGATAAGTTCCTCAATGTGTGTTCTAACTAATTCCAACGTCTTTTCTTAATTTCTTCCTCAGTTGGAATTTACTTTTTTCTCTTCAACAGTAGGCTGTTGTTGATAGTATCCGTCCAACGTACATTGAGTATCTTACGTAGACAATTTTTTTTATAAATATTTGTACTTTTTTAATGATGGTTGGTACAAGTATTTATAAACAATCGATTGATCATAATTATATGATATTCCAAAGATTAATAATTAGTACTTTTGACTAACATACCTTACTAGAAGAAATAAACACAATTTTAGAGATCATTAAAGGAAACAATGTGGAATAAGCACAAGTGGATAATGCTAGCAATGGAATCCAGTTTGACGAGCGTTTCGTCCTATTTGGGACTCTTCGGCTGGATGTACTTGCATCTCAGAGTTGATGATCACTCTGGGACTCGAACCCAGTAACTTACGATTCAAACGATATCGCATTATCCACTCAGCTACTGAGTACTGTTAGTCACTTACTTGTGTAATGGGTTAAAGTTTGAATTCACTTAATGTTGTTTGTTTGAATCTTCCTATTGATGCATAGGACTGCAACTGGTCAGTCTCTTATGGGCTTCGCTTCGCTTTCACTTTACATAAAATAATATAAGAAACATTCAATAATCAATTTAGCGCAAAAGCACTAAAATTGTTTATTCTGTTCTAATCAACTCGTCAGTATACCGTACATTTTAAACCTTAGTAACTTTGATCAACTTATTGTTCTATTTAAAAACTGCCAAGTACTTGAAAATACTTTCCAAGTTGTAAAATTCTTTTCTTTCAAAGTGTTTGAATCGTTAGAAAATGAAACAAAATAATGACTATTAAACAATTCTATTGAATCAAAAATGATACATCATAGTTGTAGTACATATATACCATTAAAGTATAAATTTCTCAATTTGAATCAACTTGAAATATAAAAATGGTCTTTCATATTAAGTAGTTCTTATATAATCTAAAGTCGATTAGTCTTTCTATGAAAATAGAAATAACTCATTGACTTTACAGGCCTCATTTGGATTTCTCATTCTGTGTTAGCAGTGTGAATTCTATACTAGATAACAACACTTACTGAGATAGGTATTGATTGAGTATCCATCATACAGGATCCAACGATAACATTAAGATAATGATTTACAACCTCATCAACTCACAATCCATATTTGCCTAATACTCTATGTCAAACTAACCTCAGCTTGTTTAATATTTATTGATTTTCAGTTTATGAATTAATATTTGATAAAAGAAAGCGGTAGGGGATGAATTCTAGAAGCTTTTAGAAAGGTGAGGTGGGATCGTGGATGCGCACTGCTGAAGAGTCCCACAATAGGACGAAACAGCCATCTAGTACTTCCAGGTTTTCCATGATGATCTAGCTTCAATTGATTCATGATCTTAACTATCTAATTTCTTTATTACGTTTAAATCTTATCATTTCTATTATTATTATTATTATTATTATTATTATTATTATTATTTCAGTCCATTACTGATTCATTACAACAATTGAAAAGACCAGAAGAAGATCTTGATATAGTATATTCTACTGAACTAATTGCACCACCAGCAATTCCAACAAAAATGTCATCTGATCCAAATAATCCAATTTATGTAAATCATTCAATTAAACCAAATAGACCACCAAATATAGATAGAAAAGAAAATGATGTAAGTTGAATAAATTTGGAATGTAATATTTCATTATACCCTTACTTATTTATGTACCATATCAATATGTCTGTAGCTTATTAAAGGTAATATATTGATAATGATAAGTCTATATATTTATGTTTTCCCTTACAAAATTAGGTTGGAGATTTGATTTTCAACCACAAAAGTTCTGTATATATAAATATATATCTATATATATATAAATGCGTGTTTATCATTCCACAAATGCCATGGTACGGCCGAGAGTGGGGAGAGTCCGCTCTCCCTCTCAAAATGCTCTCACATGGCCACGCGTATATAGCCTCTAACAGGGAAGTCCTACTCACTGGAGTTGGAAAACCCTGATTCCAAACCAATGGTGTACATGGGCTCCAGTATCCTGAGGGAAAAAATGACGTATGAATCAATCGTTGACGACCGGCTACCATGGGACTTCATCTCCTCATGATGCTCCATTGCAATGGGGATCAGATCTTTAGATCAAAGGCTCGGAATGTGGTCATCTAAGAAAACCACCTGTTTCAGTATGAGCAGTATCATAGCCTTTACAAAAATCAAATGAAATTTGTGCGGCCCATATATATCTGGTGCCTCTTTGTATCAATATTTATGTGTTTACATAAATGAAAATAAATGATCATCCGATAACACGTTCATAGTGAACGACTACAATTAGCAGAAATGAAAATTACATTAACATATAGCAACTTTAAGCGAAGTTATTTTCAAATTCTAGAAGGTACACGATTAACTAATTGTTACCTAAAATTTGAAAATATCTTACATAGACTAGATTTTCAGATGGTAGAGAAGAATTGTAGCACAGGTGAATAGTTTCGATGGAGTTTTGTTCTCTAAGCTGGATGGTTTGATGATGGAGCTTACATCGTTATTCTGAACGACATCATCAGCATGAACTTCAGATAAAAGTGAAGTGTTAGAATTTTGCTACATATGGTTCACAACTTGTCCTGTAGATTTCAATGTTGATCTGATATTGTTGACCTTTAATCTGCTATTGATTGCTTCATTATATTGGTTGTATTTCCGATTGATTTGATTGTTGGTTCTATGTTCGTCCATAGTTTTTCCGAATGGTTGATAAATTGTACCGATTTCAATGTGTTTGTTGATTGCTGATTGACTTGAGTCCCAGGCCTCTAGAAATTCTCTGGTGTTTTAGAATTGTCTATATCCAAGATCTCAATGTTTTCACAGTTGACTGTGTTCACAGCTGTCCACATGGTTTGCTATAGGCGAGAATATGTCATGGCATTTAACGGCTAATTGATGTTCATGTAGGTAAAGTTGAAGAGAGCGTCCGTTTTATCTTAAGTAATGCGGGAACACTTTATTTTGTAGATGATGTTCTGTTTTCCTTCTCTTGTCATTTTGTTCTTTGATTTCAATAAGATTGATTGAAGTGACTTTGTTGGTTTGTGTGCCACATCTATTCCAAAAGGCTTCAACAATCTCGTTGTAATTTTTGATTTGCCTTTCAGATGTAGTAGGGTGATCCATTTGCTGGTTTCTGATACTGCGTTTGGTTGGTATTTTTTGATGAAGCTGACTGAGTAGTCGTTCTTTCGAAAGATAGTCTTTAAATATTTTTCTTCACTTTTCCGCGTTGCAAATGTGTTGCCGTGTCCACATCTTCTTCAACAAGCTTTGTACTTTGTTGATTTTGTAGGCTCTTAGGTTGTTTCTAGTACAATTGAGAATTTGATCTGTGTGGGTCAGCGTCCGATATACTTGAGTCTGCAATTCTAATGATAAATATATACAAGAATAATAGCTTGTTGTTTGACTGCTAATCCATTTTGAATTTGATGTCATCAAAGACGTTGTTGATTACATTGTGGGTGTTTTCCAGCTCATTCCTTTTGACGATGAAGAATGTGCTGTCCACATAACGAATCCAAATTTTCTACTCTATCACCGGTAAGATCGAGGCCTTTATTCTCTGTGTCAGTGATTTTACAATAAAGAGATTGTTAAAATGACACCGGTAAAATGCAGTGGAATTGTCCAGCATTGTTTCTTCCTGTTTGACAAGTGGACATTTGTCAAAAAGATTTTGAACGTTTTTCAGTGATGAAAATTAGGAGTACAAAAATTGATTATTCTGATCAAAAATTTCTGAAGCAATATGCATAAAGTTCACTTATATTATCCGTCATTCATATGTTTGTCTAAACTGTCAACTGGAATAAACAACAGTTCGAATAATGTGAACTGTTATCACTTCTCATTGGCTTACACTTTTTTCATGGTACTTGTAAAACTAACCAGGTTAGCATTGGTTCTGACAATCGCCTAGCTTGACTGAAGTACCCTAGAGACAACTGCTTGAGACTGATTACATACAGCCGTTTTACGTGTAGTTACAAATTGGTTAGCTCCGTACTCTAAAATCCTTGGTGAATGCGACGGGAATCCATGGTACAAAGTTATATGAGCTCTTTCTAGCCCCTTTCTTTCATTGTGGTAAGAAAACATCACTAAAGAAGTTAGTCTTCCTAGGGAAGCGTTGTATTGTAGTCAAAGTTTTGTACTATCAGCAGTATGACTTCACTCTCTCGCTCTCAGTTTACTTCTTATAGTCGTGTTTCTCTCCAACCAGTTTGCTTGATATGATAAAGCTTAAAAGAACAAATGTTCACTGAATACAATTTAGTCGAAAAATTACAAAACTTAACCTTAACAAGGTAGTACCTACGATCAGTACTAAAGTACGAAAGTGATATCTAAGCGGTCTCTATTTATGATTCTACTTTTACTCCATTCTAATTCTTGTTTTTTTCGTCAGCGTATATTCCGCGGTTACATAACCACCACTTAAAAAAGAAAGATTTACTTTCTTTTATTAGATTTAACAGTTTCCTTTCGTATCTTAGTTCTACTTCAGAATGAAATCAATAGAACATTACTGTTAGAAATCTAATCTTTGATTAGTAGAGTTAAACCAATGATGATATCATATATTCTATTGTTGGCAATACATATGATAATTATTTTAATGTGATTGTCATCATACCTTTGATTAAAACATAAGTACTATGTGACAGATAGAAATAAAATATTACAATTTATTTAGGAACATGATAAGCATGTTTATGCAAACAGTCAAGAATTACAAAATGCACGAAAGGTTAGTACTATCATTCTGAGTTTGTTTCACCCACCCATCCCCCCCCCACCAAAACGATTAGCTTTTTCCATTACTCTATTTATCCCTTTATTCCCCTCTCCTATATAAATACTGATTTCCTTACTTACGAATATATTTAAATCCATATATACATATATAAGCACACAAAATGTGCTATGTATGCATGTGTGCATAATATCTGTCAAGATGCATGTTGAGATTTAAATGGACTTTTAACAACATTGTGTAATGAACGCACCATGTTGCATGTTCATCTTCTTTTGATCACGTGTGTTGTGTCATGGATATTATAATTCTGTGTGGTTTTTTCTGTTTGATGTTTACACTCACTAATAATAACGCTTATATGCTCTTTATCACAGTCAATTCAAAATTCCAGTTAGTACAAGTATTATGTATTGTGCAAGGAAATTGTATTACATCAAACGATTCACCAAGCTATCACAACGTAATCATATCAATTAAATAAAATGAGAGATTTGAAATTAGTCCCTGAGTGAATATCAACTCTGAGACGCAGGTATATCCAGCTGACGCGTCCCAAATAGGACGAAACGAGCATCCTGGATTCTACTGCTAGGCACTATCCATGTTTACTTAAAATTTGAAATGATGGTTTGGATGTTTTTTTTCAAAAGAAGTACCGACTATTTGGTCTGTAATTTATATTTTGAATACATAAAATAAAAACATTAAACTATGGTAGTTTGTGTAAATTGTTTGTCTTGAAAGATACACTAAAAAGCTGTTTTGTCCTATTCTGAGGCTCCTTTGCGATGTAAGTTCATATTGCCAACTTGGGCTTAATCTAGGATTTTTAAGTCTATCAGCAACCATGATACTAATGACTGAATTCAAGAAGAATCTTCAACTACTGGAAGAAGAAAAATACATCCACCATAATACTGAAAGATTGTTTATCTACACATATAATTCATCGAAATCGAAAATGTAGACTTCTGAATTTTTACTGAGTGACCGAATAACATCATGATTGTTATTATGCCTGGATATCCTAATTTGAATTTTACTCGAGCTTGTGGATAAACACCGTTGATTTGTATCTTAAGGCAAGACTAAACAGCCTTTCAGTGTACCACAGTTTTCTAGAGATTCTGTATGTTGCTTGAGTTCACTGTGAAAACCACTCCAATGTATTAAAAGTTTGTTTGAAGAAGTTGCCTAAAATTACTGCATTAACTATAACGAAAATGTATGTGCTTCACAGAAGGAATAATAATGATTTACAGTTAATAAATTATTTCATCAAATTTTAACTACTTAATTTATTTCAGTAGTAAAAGTGTTTGACATTTGACAATTTATTGCCAATCAGAATTAGCTATTAATATTAATTCTTCCATCGGTAGCAAGTCCCCATATGCCTTTTTAAAACTCTAATACTATACTATACATTATTGTATGTACATAAATGAATAAATATCCTTATCATACATTAGGCAAAGGAGTTCGCAGCGTCAGCTATAGTCGACAGTGTGGTATCCAACTATGAAACTCATTGGAAAAATGAATTAAACAGTCGAAATACAACTATTCATCCAGTGAACATGAATTATCAACAATATTACACAGCAAAAAGTGAAAACTCAACACCTAATCTATCTATTAGATCACAAAGTTATCCAACTTATAATCATCATGAACTGGAGAAGCATTATGTAACACCAAATTTTCTTTCTGCCTATCATCAGGTATCATCACCAAAACCAACACGACCGAGTAATCCACCACTAATATCCCCTATGGATCATCATCAAAGATGTGACAAATTAGATGAAAAAAATGAGATAGGTATCCGCCGATTGGATTTAGTGAATTCAATTAATCCCGGTGGCAAATTCACAGATTATGATCATGGACATTTCGACGATACTGTTAGATATTATAACACAGAGGTGAGATGGTGAAATGACTAACAAAGCGCAAAAAAAGTAGTTAAACGCGTACATGCATAGATCTATACAAAATTTCATTTCAACTAATGCATCATACATTGCTAGCTGCCTATATATATATATATAGCTTGACTGATTTATAAGATAGCTCACATGTTTTTTTCCCGAATTAATCAATCAAATCCATGCATTTTTGTAGTAACAGATGGGTGATTTAGTCCTTTTTTCATTTTCACCTATTCTCAAATCCAGTTAACAATGTTAAATCACATTACCGAAATGCATTAATAATGAAGTATGTGACATTTTCAGGATTAAGTCACCATACATTGATATTTCTTCCGGTCAATAAATAGTTTCAGTATCAAGATATTGATACTTGGCAAACTTTGATAATGATGCTGATATTTTCACAGTTAAAGCTAGGCCACCAGGTTTCCAGGTTTTTGATGGTGGTCTTACTTCAATTAACTCATGATTTCAACTATGAAAATACTGAAATCTCCACAAAACCCCTTCTGATTATAATCATATATTCATTAGTGACTGACTTCAGGATATATGTTCTGGAGTTCTAGTGAGAAACAGTGACTAGTGGAGTTCAACGACGTCTGTTGTGAGATAACAACTCACTGAAGACAATTGGTGAATGGTTGCTCAAACTTCGTGGATTGGTTGAAGTTAGACATTAACACCGTTGGAAGCCGGCTCAGTAGTCTATCGGTTAAGTGCTCTGGTACGACACTGATAAGTCCTTGGTTCGAACCTCACACATTCATTATCAAGGATCTAGAATATAAATCCATATACTCCCTATCAATTATACTTCTTCGACTGACTTAAGAACTGAACGAAGAAATCAATCATTCCACTGACGATTGTTCAGAGGAATGTTGTGAGCCACATGACTAACCGTTTTAACTATATAGTTGTTAATAGTTACAGTAATCAATGTTAATTCAAATGTCATATATCTATGGTTTACACTACATTACTATCCTAGGTTTTGTATTTTTATCAGAGTTTGGTTCCTTTTTCTTTTCATAACTAAACATAACACAATTATGTAACACTACACTGTATCATTTTTGGTTAACTAACCAATATAGTTTTCATTTATTTACTTTATGTAATGGGTGATAGATGCTTGTCTTTTTGTTTCCATTTTTCTAATGCATAACTTATATTTTTGAATACTTACTTACTTACTTAATTACCCAATAAAGAAAACCTGGACATAAATTGATTTCTAATATGAATTCTTTATTAAATGGGTTTTTTTATTTACTTAATGATGAAGTACGAGTCTAACAAAGATGTGGTATTGATATATAACTTTCTAGCTTTATACTACTAACACACATTTAAGTAGTATAGATAGTAGTAGCAAAGACAGTTTTTTTTATTTATCCAAGTCAGCTATACTCAGTGTTTAATTTTTATTGGTTTGATTTACTTTGATTTTGCTCAAATACCTTTAGTGACTTTTGAAATGACTTCATAATAATAAAGCTACCTTTTGTAATATATATTGATGGTATGACATATTTTCTTACTAACATCAGAGGTTTATGACCGATATTCACCGATATTCTCAGCAGTCTGCATCCATAATTCTAGCGCGGGACACGAGATCAGAAGCTTCAATCTCGCACGAACGCCTAACCACTAGACCACTGAGCCAGCATCCAACGGCGTTAATGTCTAACTTCAATAGATCTATGATTATACGCAACACTTTATCCATTGCCTAATCTGGATAACTTTGTGTCACCCGACACGAATAGTACTCAACTGGTAATGGCTGCACGCTAAATTTCAAGGAGATCCATATTCAAGCTAGACACCAGTGTGCTGGCTCAGTGGTCTACAGATTATGTACTCATGATCGAGACAAGGGCCCTGGATAAGGACAACTTGCGGGAGTCATGCATGCACACTGTTGGAGCGTTCCACACTAGCACGAAACGAACGTCCAGTGATCCCAGGAGTTCAATGGTTCTCCGGCTTAGATCGACTAATAAATTAAACTGTTAAGAAAACTACCTTGACGAAATGAAAATACTTCAGACACAAATGAAACAAAATTTGTTATACCCAATTAATGATTTTATATAATTTCATATTCCGTAAAAAATAATCCATATTTTTTAAAGTGACGTTGTTTTAAATTATAAAGATTTCATAATTGAGGGAAACAATTTATCATTACCAGACTAATATAATAATAAAATTGTCAAAATCAACCAAGTGGTTAATATTAATTGAAATAAATCTATTACTTACTTACTTACTTACGCTTGTTACTCCCAATGGAGCATAGGCCGCCGACCACCATTCTCCAACCCAATCTGTCCTGGATATTCCTTTCTAGTTCTATCCAATTTTTGTTCATTCTTTTCATGTCTGTCTACATTTCTCGGCCTACTTTGTCCTTTGATCTTCCTCTTCTCCTTTGGTATGTATCAATAAACCTTTATTTTGTTCTAAACAGCATGATACTTCTGCTCATTAGTTATGAATAGTTAAGAAAAGCTTTCATTTGATACTTATATATATATATATATATATATATATATATATATATGTTGTAATATATCATTTTTAATCCAAATCCTAACATTATTTTGTTTTTAAACAAACACTCAAATCATAATTGATTATTTTTAATACTAAACATTTTATACTACTGAAATAACTACTTATCTAATTCCCTATATTTAACCATTAAAAATTTGTTTATTTACCTGACAAGTTATATTATTAACAAATTATCTTCATTAGTATGCTATGCATGTCTGTTGAATGTTCAGGTTTAACAATGTTTAATATTGAGTTTATTATTCATTATATACGTTATTAATGTTGTCTATGATCTAGTTATCCCTAGTACTTATATACACCTTTCATTGTATTATTGTGATTTATATCACATTATTAATCTATCAAAATAAAGCCATTTTCAATGCAATTTCAACCACATCATTCGTATACAATGAAATCAGAGAGAAGAATTATGTCACCTACTAGTTTGGATAGAAGATATCCACAAGAATATGATCAATATTATTCATCACCTGAAGCAAGACGAGTACAAACAATGAGAGTAAGAAATTCACTAATAACTATACATATATTAATAATCCTTATGAAAATTAATATGAAATAGAGAAGAACTATTATTGTTTACTTATATTCAAACCATATCTTGCTCATCTAAGCCAGTACACAAGCATCTTTGAGTAATAACCATAATATGAGTGTCCCGATTCAGTGAACACTAACAACCTCGGAGATCCCTTAAAATTTTCAGATAAAATATATACTACTTATTAGTTAGTAAATAGTATAAATAAATTATATATTTGTAATATCCCAATGAGTAGAAAAATTAGATTTTCTGACGTTTCGTGACTCAGTGTAAGCCACTTCTTCAGAGAATAGAAATCATTTTATTCTCTTTTTTTTATTCTCTGAAGAAGTGGTTTACACTGAGTCACGAAACGTCAGAAAATCTAATCTTTCTACTCATTGGGATATTACAAATATATAATTTATTTATAACAATCTACCCAATGCTCAATTTATTCAAAATTATCAAATCAAGTCTTGGTAATGATACCTATAGTAAATAGTATATTTCCAAAGAGTTTGTTTCTCAAACTTCCTGCATTTCAGCTCAGAACTAACTTTAGTTACACAACATATTTTCCATCCATACTCATAAAAATGAAGGGATTCGCTATAACTGCTGTGGAATTTCAATATCTTTGATCCTGAATATGGATAATTTGTATTGAAAACAAAGTTGAATATTTCGTTAGTTTTTTTTTGGCATAAATGTACATAGAGTCTTTTTGGTAATGAAAACATTCAAAATATTCGATTTTAAGTACCCAATCAATTTATTCAGTTACATGACAGAAATTGACTAAACTGTTTGTAAAAGTTCGTTGTTAATCGATAAGCTCTTACTTGGTACTTCCTAAAATGAAATACTATAGTATATTCATTGACTGGCTCTTTCCAAAACATCTGTTCATCGACTTACAGTTTCCCTTTACTCTTGAAATAAATGGTGTTAGATAACTTGATTCTCCCATTCTTAAATTACTTCTTGATGAATAAACTGAAGGAACAATTTTTCATACAAAATATACTACTTATATCATCTTAGTAGTTTTCTTTCTTTTATCGGCAGATATATTGCCTTCTAGTCCCTCTGTTGTTCTTAATTATTTCAAAATGAATCTGTCCTATATGATTTTTATGTCATTATTGGAGAAGCATTTACCAAGCATCATGATTTGTCATATTTCATGGAGTAATTGAATCATTTAACTACGCTATCGATGAGTGATAGCTTCACTTCAGATTTGGTGTCAGCTACCTATTACTGCTTATTAAATGATCACAAAATTAATCAAAAGTGAGGATATAATTATTTTTTGATTGATCAATGTAAGTATTGCTCCTTGGTAAACTCTAGGAAGCCTCAAGAAGCCAAGAAAAAGTCGAAGATATTCCATTCAATCACCACTAGTAGAACATTCTAGAATGTCAACGTGTAGCTTCTATAAAATTCCTACTTATTAGTCTTCTGTGTTCGCTTTTGCGACGTTGCGGTTTCGATCGTTCAAGTAGTCTAGTAGTACGCGGCATAGCAAGAATCAAAGCTCTAGATATAACAATCTATCTGTCAAAGTCAACAGTTTTTCATAATCCAGGTTATGGGTCTACACTGTTGAAGAATTTTAGTAATAATATTAATAATAAATAATAACTTTAATAATTCTCCATAGTTTTCCAGTTCATGTTAAAATAAGCCACTGATATAATTTCACCTCTATAACCTCACCTCATAGGAACATAAACATTTTTGTTTCATTAATGATGAGTTCTCTTTTCAAAATAAAGCTGAACAACTTTCTTTGACCAATCTGTCCACTAAATATACTAACGGTGATTGACCCACACAACCTTTTTTCTACCCCAAACCTTAATTACTTACGCCTGTTACCCCTCGTGCAGGAGCATAGGCCGCCCACAAGCATTCTCAATCCAACCCCCAACCCGCTCAGTTAAAATGTGGAAAATTTAAACTGACGTACTCTGTAACTCTTATCTTAAAACTTATCTCATCATATACATGATTTACATGAAGAAAAATATTACAAAAAGGGAAATTACAATTTGTAATACAAATCTCAGTACCAGATACATAAATAATTAACTTAAATTTCTGAACACTTAGGGGATCTGTCAACAATTAACGAATTCCATGATAATTACATCGAATCTTCATACAACAGCCTCCATATTTTAACATGTATGAACTAACTCATCTCAAACTTCAATGAACGAGAACACAAGTGGGGACAATCGAATGTATCTGAACACATAAATCATACAGTAAGTAATTCATTTGCAAAGTGTCAATCAATAGTCTCAGACTTCAGTGTTCTTTCGTTTCCACAAAAATCATTTACTGTTCTCGTTCTCTTTTCTCCTATCTCCTTAACATTCTTCCTCTAGACATTTCACTTTTTCAAAGTTGAAATCATGAATCAATTGAAGCTAGACCACCATCGAAAACCTGGAAGCACTGGACGGCCGTTTCGTTATATTATGAGACTCCTCGGCAGTGCGCATCCACGAACCCGCTCTCGCGAAATTCGAACCCAGGACTTATCAGTCTGAGGAGTCCCATAATAGGACGAAACGGCCGTCCAGTGCTTCCAGGTTTTCGATGGTGGTCTAGCTTTAATTGACTCATGATTTCAACTTTGAAAAATACTGAAATCTTCATAAATCTCTTTTTGATTTCACTTTTTGTTGATAATACATACTACTTATATCTGTCGACATCAGTAGCACACAATACAAGACCACTTTAATCAATGTTAAGTTCAGTTCAGTCTGTTCATTTTAATAAAAGAAGCACCTTGGAAATTTAATGATTGAAGAAATATTGTGTACAGAGAAATGTACTTTTAGTTTTTAAATCGACATTTTACTTGTACAATCACAATAGTAGTAGTTTTATGAGTAGTATCGTAATGTTTAATAATTATAAACTGATGTTATTACTTTTTTAATACTCACTAGTGAATAAATGATACTTTGATCACTATTTTTTAATGGATCGTTTTGTTCCTATGACTTCCCCTCTCCCATTTATTATGTTTTAATTTTAAAGAATCATTTTGTTGCTACGACTTGTTGCTACGGTATTTTATTTATTCAAACTGATATAGATTGTTAATTAAGTATTATTGATTTTGTATAAATTTTTTTGGAAATGATTTATGGTAAACTGAAATATACGATAAATGGATATCTATTTCAAGTACCTTGAAGTAACAAACATTATCAGTTTAAAGATTTATGAAAATTCAGTTCTGTATATACAAAATACAATCGATCACTAAATAGAGAGCAATGTTGTGTTTAAATTCACTTAGTATTGTTTGTCTGAATCTTCCCATTTATATTTAAAACTGCAACTGGTCAGTCTCTTATTGACCATATGTGCATACTGTGCGTATTGCCTCGATATAGCTCTATTTCAGGATTTAGTAGCTGAGTGGATAACGCGATGACGTTTGAAGCGAAAGATACTGGATTCAAAATGTACAGAGAACATCAACTGTAGGTACAAGTACATGCAGCTGACAAGTGTCAAATAGGACGAAACGCGTGTCCCGGATTCCAATGCTAGCCACTATCCATCTTTGCTTACAATAATGTGTTTACCTTGTCGATTAGTTTTGATGCGGTAATTGTTTTAAATGACTCAGTATTCCTTGTTTTATGTTGCAGTATTAGGTGATTGAAAGTAATTGACGAGAAACCCCGATTTGTTTTTGTTTATATCAGTTTGGACTAATTCCAGATTAGATTATGATAAGGAGTTACAGATTGAGATGGGACAGTTAGTGGTTTTATAACTTAGATCAGTCTTTGGTATAAAGGTCAACAATCTTCACAATATTCCTATACTGAATATCACTTAATAACCTTAATGAAACCTTACTCTTTATCAGGTATTTTATTTATATAATTATTATTTAAACAATGCTTAGATTATCTTTCGCTATCTTCTATCTATGCTATGTGTCTTATCTTTTGTTACACTGGTGTTCGACTATATACTCTTTATTATTGTTGACAATTACCATCACGTAAGTTCGTGTCCTGTACCATAAAATTTATACAATAAGTCTTTTTTTATAAAAAAAAAGTAATGGATGTTGTCTGGCAGTGGAATTCGGGACTGACATCTCGTCCTATTTTGGAACTCGTCAACTAGATGTACCTTCATCGCAAGATTGTTGTTGACTCTGAGACTCAAACTCTAGCATGTAGGCACATCCAGCTGACGAATTCCAGATAGGATGAAACGCACGTTTTGAATTCCACTGCTATCCACCACCCATCTCTGTATACAATGCTTGTGACGTAATTACAGTATCAAAGTAATCCACACAGAATCCATATATGCCAATAAAAGACTGATCAATTACAGTTCTAAACATCAACGGGAAGATTCAAACAAAAAATACAGAAATGAAATTATTAATCGTTAGAATTGTAGCAATAGTTATGACAGTCTTCAAATCGGATAACTTTTACATTATCTGTAAAGAGAACAGTTGTCTTTCTAAGTTAATTTCCACTCTACACGAATTAACCTAAAAAGGTAGTTCTATTCTAAATATTATATTAAATATATTTTTCATGGTTTGCATTTCATGTCTGAATGATATGCAAATACATCCAGACAACATAAATAGGATGAGATGTGATTTCTGGATCTCAGTACTGACTACTATCAAGATTTAATCAATAATATGTCAGTTTGCCCAAAAGAAATATATAGAAAGCATTGCTTGGTTTAGATCTCATGTTAGTTTCCAACTCGCATCAGTTATCTTTAGCAAATAAGAAGGTCTAGTGGGACTCGAACGTACATCATTTAATGCTTCTCTTAATTACAGTTAGTTCCCTTCATAAAAAAGTACAATGACAATAGTTTTGCAAACACTTCACTCAACTCCAATGTTCCTTGCCTTCAATGTATTCAATTGAACATTAAATGAAAAGTATACTTTTCAGTAGGAGAATATGATAGACTGATTGATTATAAAGAATATCAAATATCTATACTCTAATTTCATTATAAGCTCAGATAGTTGGTGTAAAATAACAAAACAATTAGATTGTCCAACTACCTAAAGTCTCAGTCCATGTGCTACTACTTTTATCAGAAGGACAATTGTAAATATATCTTTATTTAAATATATTATAATTCAAAATGTCAGTTAAGATTTCCTACTGAATATCAGTTCTTTTATTTATTTAATGAGTTTAATATACCATAAGAAAGAAATATCATACATCTATCATGATATATTGCCATGTAGAGCTGAAGGTCTTATGTGAGACTGGAGGTTCGTCATTGACATTGTGGATAGTCGAGCATTACTTTGGCAAGTTTTGCTGACTGTTCATGTGAAAAGTTGGTTTGCTGGTTAACCTATTTCATTCATACTGATGGTTGATTTTCAGTGTTCTCAAGGGCCATTGTCATTAGAGCATTGTAACGTAAGTCGCCGTTGCTAACAGTAATGATTTTGACTGTCGTGTAAGTGAAATTGATCAACTTTCGCCTGCTCGTGTTGCGCCTAATTGATTTACACGATCCCTGATTGAAATAATTACACATGTGATGTGAATGTGTATATGAATGATGTGAATAGTCCACCAGGGTGCTTGGTACCTGTGTGATTGCACCACAGGATTGAGCTGTACTGTTCAGATTGTAGCGTTGAGGCTCATATAATGTTTGGTTCTCTTGTAAAGCGGGATTGAATTGTACTGTTTGGAGATAAGCCTTGGCAGTGTCTGGTTCTCCTACGAAACGGGATCGAGCTGCACTGTTTGGATTGTCACATGAAAGTCTGGATGGTGTCTGGCTCTTTTGAAAACCAATGCAAAATTACCCTGGCCCACAAGGATATATTATATAAGTATACAACTATCAAACTGTAGAAGATGAATGTAAAATCAATGATCTTTTGAATCCAAATATGTTTATATCATCATTGTATATTTATTCTTTTCATCTATTCAGTATACAGATTATCCAACTAGACCACGTATATATCAACCAACATATCAATCAGCAACTTTATCATTTAATGAATATGATCATCATTATAATAATGGTACATTGAAACCGCGTAAACCAAAACCTATTACAGAACGTTATAAATGTAGTGAAGTATATAATTGGCCACCGAAATTTCCAAAATTAAAACGACGTAAAACTAATCCACCTAAACAAATTCATACTGCACAAGATCATATTGTTATTAAACAACAATTAAAAACATCAGCTGAGAATAATCATTCATCTCCAATTCACCATACACAATCAAATACAGAACAAATACAATGTATAAAGGTTAGTGAATAGAAAGTATAGAATATATTTTATAAGTAGTATCTACCTAGATATGTTACTATGGTTATTTTTATTTGATTGTTTAATCAAAGACTAATAGTTAATGACACAAGTTATATAGTTACATTATTAATCATGTAAATACAATGGTGGACGGTCGCTCAAATTTGTGGATCGATTGAAGTTGGACATTAACACCGTTGAATGCCGGCTTAGTGGTTCTACGGGTTAGGTGCTCGCGGGGCGGAATCGTGGATGCACACTTCCGAGGAGTCCCAAGGTGAGACCAAATGGCAGTCCAGTGCTTACAAGTTTTCCATGGTGATCTAGCTTCAATCGACTCATGATTTCAACTATAATGCATACAATAAATTATAAGTGTATTTATCTCTATTCACTAATCAATTATAATGTGGTTTGCCTTGTGTTATATCCTGTGGTTTATACCCTGATTAATATATGACGTGATAATACCGCCAATTAGAGAGAAATGAATTACCAATCGAACCAATGACACATGAAACCCGTAAGAACAGTCTAGAGTACTTGTCGTTCATGCCTTTTGCTTAGCCCAGCCAGTTAAGTCCAGAACAACAAGAGTTTCTGAAGTTATTAGCCACACACTGCAAGTATTAAAGAAGAGCTAAAAACTGAAGATATTTTAGAACTATCAGTGTAGCTAACTAAAGTTTTCCCTTTATTAGGCTTTGATAGAAAACAACTTAATCCATACAGCTTATATTAACTTTGAGCCAACCGAACCATAAACATAAAACCAGTATTGTGTGGAGTTCTACGTGGATTCCTTAAGTTCTGGTAAAAGGTCATTAATAGTGGGGTTTGATCATGTTGACATCAAGGCTGTTATAAAATGGCTGAGATTAGATACAGGGGTCCCTACATTCTAACTCAATATACTAAAATTAACATGCCTTTCATGTGACCTGAATACCTTCGAATCAATCTCTACTTAGTTTGTAGGTACGCACTTCTTAAGAATCTCATGTTAAATTGAATTATCTGTTTAATGCACCCTATTGTTACACTTGTTCAAGAATGATGTTGGTTCATATCGAAAGCCATTTTTAAACTAAACCATATCATTTAAGTTTCCTAAAACAATCCATTTCTAATATTATGAGAATCAAAATCAGTGAATCATTAGTTTTAAAATTTTGTTGGGACATATTTGACCAATTCAATTTGCATTCCATCGTAACATGGTGTGAACAAACTACTCATGTACGACAAACATGTGTATATGACTATTACTACCATAGATATAATAACTAAATTAGAAGTAATTAGTTAAACAAAACAACAGAAAGGAGATCATAGTATTGACAACCATAATAGTTGGTAATATTTTAAGAAAATGACAAACAATTCAAAGTCTAAACTGCTAGGGGATCAAATGTTTTATTGAATATCGTTAAGAATGATAGAACTAGTTCTAATATTTTTTTATAAGTTTATTGAAATCATAAACCGATCTAAGTTGATCAACCATTGAAAATCTGGATGAACTGGACGTCCATGGAGTCTAATTATTTAAGGTGTGATGAAGTTACTTACCTAAGACAATGGGAAATAGTTGTGCAATATCATGGATTAGCTGAAGCTAAAATTATACATCATTGTATCCTGTCTTAGTGTTCTATAGGTTAAGTATTCGCACGTGCGACCGAAGGACCTAAGTTCAATTCCCGGTTAGACAACTATTGACTGCCTAAAATTACTAGACGGGCGTTTCGTACTAGCACAGAACTCTTCAGTGGAACGCACCCACAACCTTACAACTAGTAACCGAACCCTAAAACTTCGGTCTCGATCACGAACGCCTGACCTCTAGACCACTGAGCCGGGATACAATGTTGTATGAGTCTAACTTTGATCAATCAATCACATTGTGAAACGATCTTCAGTTGTCTTGGGTTTCTGAATCTGAGTTCGTGAAACATTCACATTGTTTAAAACTCTCATACTAGGATGAAATGCCCTCCCGCTGCTTCCAGGTTTTCAATGGGTGTCCAACTTAGATCGATTAATGATTTCAATAGAATTCGGCAATTTCCGCAAACCCATATCGACAATTGTAATAACGTTAATGTTATTATGATTCAGTAAAAATTGGTAAAAATGAAAAATGTGCGTTCTCAGTTAGAGGAGATTTGTGGTGATCGGTCTAATTTTTTGTATATTATTGCCAATTTTATTAGAAAATTTTGGAGCCGCATTTTAAGTTGATGAGATTAGAACATTACCAATGAACTCCGTTTTTGTGACTACAATCGCTAGACATTTTCTATGATACCTCGTTCTTTTGGGTTAGGTTCCGAATACTATTATAGGTGCTCACTGGTAAGAAGAATTAGACATCTATTCACTTTATCAAGAAAAGTTTCCAACAACATCTCAATCAAGATTAATCTGTGAACAATACAAGTTACACACATTTGCTTTTTGTTTTATTTGTATAGGTAAACAATCAGTATCAATCACCGACTGGCAAAAGAGAAATAAGTGTTTCACCAGAACCACAAGTAACTAGTCTTCATTCATTACAAGTAAGTGATGTTAAAAATAACCTTGGGTTTGTTTATGGTGAAGTTTTTATTCCCATTACAGAAAATATCATCAATTCTGTAATGTCCTTGTTTTGTCTACCCATTCGTATGTCTCGGTCAAGAATTTAGCCTTTACGTAATATGTGACATATTGAAACCGTGAGACTTGTACCACATGAGTTTTATTTGTGACTGAACTGCTTTGAGGTCATATAGGAGAAATTATCCCACTGCTGACCCGATTGATTGAGAAGCCGAAAATGTAGATAATTTATTTGGAACAGTACATCCAACAAACCCTTGATTTAAATAACTCAAAATAGGTACATAAATAAAAATATAACTAACGAGTCTACAACTTACAAATAATAATAAAAAATTCAATCCAAACCATGGCTATAGACTAGAAAAAATGAAATAAAAGATTAAAGTGAAGTCACAATAACTCTGATCAAAAAAGAATATCATTGAAGTCTATATCAGACCACCATCAGAAGAAAAACTGGACGTATGTTTTGTCCTAGCACGGAAATCCTTATGAGTGCGCGCCCACAATGTCACACATGGGACTCGAACCTAGGACCCTGAACTTCGCACGCTAATGCTTGACATCTAAAACACTGAGCCGCTATCCGGCAGTGTTATCGTCTAAATACAACTAATTCACAACATCGCACGACCATCTCCAATTGTCTTTAGTGGATAACCGTCTAATACGAGACACAGATTAACTTCACCTTATACAACTAGCATGATTGATACTGTCACTTAAGACATCAATATAATGATCGATATACCTCATTGATTATAATATTGTTTGTTTATTCCTTTTTTTCTACAGAGATCGACGCTGTTAGAAAAGTCTAATCGTACATCGGGCACAGAAACACGTGACCAATTATTTATAGCAGATTATAAACTAGCACCAAACAATCAGGTACTTTTTTTTATAAGAAAAAAATATTGGTCCATTCTTGTGATATTTCGATAAGTAGAAATTAGACTGTGTTAACATTTCATGACTTAATGTAGGCTACATTTTCAAAGTAAGTAAATAAATAACCAGGTTTAAATAGTGTGAAGGAATAGGAAAGTTAAGCATCTGCTTGCGAAACAGTAAGTTCTGGATTTGATCCCCAGAACCAGGATTATGAATGAGCGTTGTTGACGAGTTTCACGCTGGGATGACACAGCCATCCAGTGGTTCCAGGTTTTCAATGGTTTTTCTAATTTAGATCGGTTAGTGATTTTAAAGCTATGTGAACTAACTCAAATATAAATAATATAGACGAACAAACAGAATATCTAGTTCAATTAAAATCAATTCTAAAATAGATCTGTTTATTTTGATATCCTATCTTGTTTTGATCAAGATAATTCTATGTGAAACATCTCCATCAATACTTTTATGTATCTTATTGGATGTTTAAATTCTTAAATTTGTAGTATGAAGAAGTAAAGTTAAAATTTGCGTATGTGTGTAATGTGAGAGATGAATATAAACTGTTTAAGTGGTATGGATAGTTAGGCTTCTGTTTATTTTAGATTAAAGGGATTTAGCATTTCTATGAAACACCTTAGAGACATATTGGAAAAGCTTTTGTGTAATATTTTGATATTTTCAATATAGATTTGGTAGTTTTTGAGAATAACATTTAATGTTATTCCCAATTTGTTTAGCAGTTCATCCGGTTCAATAGAATTACTAGTAGATATTTTCGTGTAAATTTAAGTGTTCCTTGATACGAGTGAAGATTTCGTTAGGACATTCTCATACAATTAAAAAAGTACCAGAATATTGATACAATCTAATGTGTAGATGTAATTCTATTGCATAAATAGGAAGCAGTCTTATTTAGGTCATCTTCCGAAGAGACTTTCATAAGTAGTACAATTCTAAAATAATGAAAAAACTGATATTCTGTCAACGTTTCAATCTTTATTTTCATCTGACATTATTTAACACTAATATCTTACAGTTCTTCAATTCCCTATTTCCACTGCATGCATTCACATGTATGAAATTTGTAACAATCTCACTAGTTATCCGTCTATTGGATACTAAATCTAAAAATAAACATAATCTATTCATTGGAATGAAGGAGAGATTTAGTCATTTTGGAGTTTATCTGAATAATAACTCCTTCTCATTAAAAGAATAGCGAAGTTTTCATTTGTTTACTGTATGGTAATTATTTCAAATAAACTTTGAATGTGTCTTACTTACTTATACCTGTTATTCTTTATAGACGATCATAAGCTGTCAGAAAGGATTTTCCTTCAGAATCTGTCCTCAGCTTAGCTTTTCAATTATTGCAAAGTGTTGTTCAATATTTTGATGTCTGCTCCCTATTTTTGATGCAATGTGTTCCTTGGTTTTACTCTTTTTCACTTTCATATTTCGCGCTTTTTTCTCTCGTGTTCAATTTGTTGTGTAGATTTAACGTGAGGGTTACTAGGAGAGCTTAGGAATCAAATCTATCGTTCACTTAGAAGATTTATCACTATAACAACTTACTATAAAACATGCATCTAAGAAAATTTTAATTTGCTTTTAATTTGTATAAGGCATTCAACACAGATTAATTTCTGTTAGAATACTATTGAGACATAAAAGTTCTGATTTCAATCCCTATATAAGTTGTAGGTGTTTTCATTGTTTAAATGATTCCTGCCTAATAAACAAACTAGCATTATCTAATGTTACTAACTTGTTAATTATACCTCAAATAAATGAAATCGTTGATGAATACCAACCACCATCTTATCTCAACGTAGTCCACGCAGTATCCAGCCACCTAGACTAGTAGCCACATTACAACTTGAATAAAAGCATTCGATCTGCGCTAAGAAGGACTTGACACACTTGAAACTGATCACCACTGAATGATCAATCAAATGTAATTACATCGCAGTTCTACAGAATGTCAGTCGCGGCCCGGATAGCTCAGTGGTAACACCTCTGACCGTGAAGCATGATAATACAGGGTTGAGTCCGTCAGGGAGCACTAGTTCCCTCAAAACCACAAGTACACCTTGCTGACGAGTGCCAAGTAGCACGAAATCCGGATCCAAGGTTTCCTGTTGACCACCTCCAACCACCATCTTATGAATACCTTCTACAAAAATAAAATAATCTCTAACAAATCCTATTTGTATGTAGTTGAAATCATGAGTCAATTGAAGCTAGCCCACCATCGAAAACCTAGATGCACTGGACAGCCGTTTCGTCCTATTGTACAACTCCTCAACAGTGTGCATCCATGATCCCGCCTAGCAAAATTTGAACTTAAGACCTACCAGTCTAACGCCAGAGGACTTAACCACTACACCATTAAGCCAGTTGACATCCAAAGGTGTTAATGTCAAACTTTGACAAATCCACAAAATTGTGCAACCATTCACCAATTGTCTTCAGTGAATTTGATATCTCCTAACAGACTTGGTTGAACTTCACTAGTTACTGTTTCTTCTATTTCTTTCAATTATTTCTTTTTGTTATATGTCAACAAATAAATCTTCACTCATCATAAATAATAGTAATAATAATAATAACAATAATAAACCCATATATTCACTTTAATAAATTAGACATCTTCAGTGCTTATTCGTTACAAACCAGAGGTAAATAATCAATCTAATCCTATCAGTATATTCAATATATAACATAATATATGGTGTGTTGATAGGGGTGAAATTGTTTTCTTCTACAATACTAATTTAATATAATGTCTTGTTAATTATTTCTTCAAATATTATATTTATTGAATAGTAGATTGAGTGTTTTGTAACCATGTTAATTGACATCTTCAGTAGATTTCAAATTTATGAGTATTCTTTAGTTGGTGACAATTTGTGCATGGTTGCTCAACTTCGTGGATCAGTTGAAGTTAGACATTAACACCGTCGGATGCCAGCTCAGTGGTCTATCGGTTAAGGGCTTCGGCTCAAAACTGGTAGGTCCTGGGTTCGAATCCCGCGAGAGTGGGTTCGTGGATGCGCACTGCTGAGGAGTCCCATAGTAGGACGAAACGGCCGTACAGTGTTTCCAGGTTTTCGATGGTGGTCTAGCTTCAATTGACTCATGATTTCAACTTTGAAAAATACTGAAATCTCCACAAATCCCCTTCTAAATATTCTTTAGTTGTTATTTTTCTCCTTTATTTTTTTTTCTTTTATCATTACAACTCTTAACTATTCATTCTATTGCCAAGATTATTGATCAATATTTCAGTGGTAATTTTTTTATCTTAACATTCATATCAATAGTTGATTTCATGAATAAACCGTGTCTGTTGTGAGATAGTTACTCAGTGAAGACAATGGTTAACTGTGGTTCAATTTAGTGGATTAGTTGAAATGAGACATTTACACCTTTGGATACCAGTTCAGTGATCTAGAGGTTAGCCTCTCGCACACAAGATCGATAGGTCCTGTTGTGGATGATCACTGATGAGGAGTCCCACACTAGGACGAAATGGCGGTTGAATGCTTCCAGGTTTTCCATGGTGGTCTAACTTTAATTGACTCATGAACTCAACTATTAAATTTCATAATTATTCATCGAACACATTTTGACATTGGATATTACTTAATGAAATGAATTTTTCAAATCAATTCTCGAATTTAGCATATGGAAAATGCCTTTAAGAATAAATATTACCACCTTTGAACAAGAAATAAATAATTCTCATCACTATAAAACTATATAATCAATGTATCCCTTCGTGAACAAAACACATTAATGAATAATTCTGATCCATAGATTATCGTATTCTAACACAAACATTTTCAACAGAATCAATTGAAATGAATAATCCACGTTGACAATTCATAAAGTGATTATGCTACTGTAATACATATTACATGGAGAATGTTTGAATAAATTGATCTCTATATTGTTCGTATATATATATGGTTCAATCACTGTAGACTGTGATTCATTACAATGATAACCGGTTGAAGATAATCGTCAGGAAACTCTATTCGGCTCAGGTTCAATATTATTCAGTATTCATTAACAAGGTGTACGTACAATACTCAGGAAACTTATCCTTCCTATGGGATTCAAAATCATTTCATTCAGCTGAACGATGTTAAACGTTTACTAGGCAGTCGGAGGTTAACCTGTTATAAGACTGAGACTTTTGAAATTGATGATTCACTGAGTAGTAGCCAATATCAAACTTGATTAGTATTTAGAGCTGATCAAATTTCATCGATCAGAATTTCAGGTTGAGGTCTTAATTAAGACTAACTATAGTAACATACTATTTTTGCTATTGATATGAATTATTTTAGGCAATAAAGGTACGAGAATATACTACAAAAAACAGGATACTTAGTGAGTAGTTTTCCCACAGATGCCTTAGAAATATTGCTCGCATCTGCTGGGATCCCCAGATAAGTAATAGTGAGGTTAAACACAGGGTATTAAGGAAGGTTGGTAAATTAGTTGATGAGGTCATGAATCCCAACCGACTGAGATGGTTGAGCCACGTGTTACTTATGCCTGAACAGAGATTACCACGACGCTCTATGATGACTAGTATTGGGGATGGTTGGAAGAGAGTTAGGTTAGGCCAAACCAAAACATGGCATCAGTGCTTGAAATCACTAAGTTCTAGTCTGAGCTATGTTGCAGATGCAGACTACTTGTTTAGGGTCTGTGTGACTATCGTAACTAATGGTAGGAGACTCTAGATGACATGGCTAAGAATCAATCACAATGGCGTAGGTGTATACACTCTTTATCTTCCCTTAAACCTTAAGATTAAAATTGCTACATAACGTTCTTTCTTCCTATACTATATCCTTATATACAACATATCTTCTACATATTACCACCACTAAATTAACTTCTATGAATCCGGTGTTGATCTTGTTGTGCTAACGAGGTATGGCAACTTGGACTGATGCATAAACGTGCCTGGTCCTACGCTGTAGCTGACTGACTGACTGAGTAGTTTTTATCACTCTCAAATCAATGCATGAATGTATGCATATACTAACAATCTACTGAATTCACTAGACGAAACTCACAGTTAGTCTTTTTTTCACCATGATTCAATCAACAATAAGATAACTATGAAAAATAGAATCGTTTGCCAAATTCATTGGCAAGATTTCATTTTGACTTGTTGCTGAACAAGGAACGATGATATGGTTGTGTACATTTACCAAGATAGTTTTAAACAATTGTTAACCATGTTCAGATTTCTTGAAATACTCATTGATTATCTGATCTGATATCATGTTATTCTAAGCAATGAATGGTTTTAATCTACTCTCTAGTTCAGTTTATTGCTTTAAATGTAGTAAGTGACACATATGTCATTGGTCAGTTGTATTGTGACGGAAGGTATCCAAAATCTGATACTGATACGCGGTGTAATACGCGCTAACCCCTCCATCGCTCCACCCACTGACTATTTGAGCGAGGACACAAGAATAAGCATAATAGTGTATTGAGTTACCAAATAAAATGCACAAATATTCACTTGTACACATGCAACTCTAACCCATGATAAATCAACGCATTTCTTAGCTGATAAATGCATTTTTCCTTTAGGTCTCTTCTGATTGCCATCGATTGACCTTCTCATTAGTCTACTTTTTGTTATCTCTCTATGTCAAGATGTTCTAGAACATTTAGGAAAATTAGATTGATATCTATAATTTCTCACCAATGTCCTGTTTTTTCCCTACACGTATTCACAATACATCAAGCTGTTCACATGAGTTGCACCTGAATTGTTTTCTTTTATGTAGTAGAACATTTCATGTTGCGCTCACAGTAGCTTATGCCTAAATATTTGCTTATTCTCCTCTATCACAAATAAATCAATATAATATAGTGAATATTTAATGAACGGTAGAATAGTGTTATTTCTTTAAACCTAGAAACTAAGCCTTTCTTTCAAAAAGTACCAAGTAGTTCAACTATGTATGGAAATTATAAGAAAAGATGGATAGTAGCTAGCATTGGAATCCAGAACACGCGTTTCATCCTGTTTAGGACTCGTCAGTTGGATGTACTTGCATCTCAGAGTTGATGTTCACTCTGTGACTCGAACTCAGTACCTTTCGCTTCAAACGCCATAGCGTTATCCACTCAACTACTGAGTCCTGATAATCACTTGCTTGTGCAATGGAGTGAAGTTAAAATTCACTTAGTATTGTTTGTTTGGATCTTCCCATCGATGTGTTTAGGACTGCAACTGGTCAGTCTATTATTGGCATATGTGCATACTGTTCGTATTGCCTCGATATTGCGTTTTTTTTAAAAAAACGATTTGATCTTTGATCATAACAGATTTTACTGATTGTATTCATAATTAGTTATTGAAATATAAGTTTAACACCTCAGCATTTGTTTAAAGAAAGAATGTGAATAATTCAATTCATTCTTTAAATATTTGTATTTCTCCTTTGTTGACGTTAAGGATAGTAATTAATTAACCATATGCTCATCCTAAGCACATAACCGCAATATAGCCTATAGTCATCAGTTTCTATTCTCAATGGTACATGAGTAACAGTACAATTCAAATCAAAAGACTTACAAGAAATATAGTATACTTGGTTTCAGTCTCAGTGTGAACATTAACATCGGTATGTGAGTACACTAGATTGACGAACATCACAGAAGATAAAGTGTCGTTCTAGACCTCACTCCTAATCCCATATTAAAATGATATTTTGAAAACAGTTAAGACTTTTTTTAAATAATCCACAAAATTTTATTATGCATTATGAATCATTAAAAATTCAGAAACTATCATCAATTTTCTACTGAGTCATGGTAACCACTTACTTGTACTTATGTGTCAGGCACTTTTACCAGAATTATTTAAACTACGAAATATAAGTAATGTAATATACAATTCAAAGACTTTATAATGCATGTTGAAATTCAGCGTTTGCTATAATCTCTAGTTTTATTCATTCATAAATAGATACTCCTTAAGGATTGACAAACTGATAACACGTAATTGATTAATGGGAGATAGACTATTCCTGACTTCAAAAACATTGATAGCTATTTTGGGCAGGTAAAGTATCAACTTAGCTAGGCAATGCTAAAATTTGACTGATAATGGAACTTGGAGATGATTTTGTAACGTAATTGTTTTATCTTAACGAATAGTAAATGAATGGTAACTGCAAGGAACTCTTTATTAACAGTTATTATATATATATTCTTATTGTAACTAGATTATACACATGAATATTTCTTTTATTCTAAGCTTTCTTTTAAACTGGTAGCTATTATTATAAGATTAACTATTCTTAACTTATTCCCAATTTGTTACTTACAGTCTCTCACAATTACAGCCACTTTCAGCCGTGATCTTTTATAATTGTTATTGCCTATTTTATGGTATGATGTGGTCTGATTTGCTTGTATGTTGATCAAGTATGTCTGAAATATATAATTTATATAGTGGAAGCCAAGATTGTGTTCTGGACTGCTAGGTGTGAAGAAACAATAAGAACTCTGAGATGACTCCTCTCACTGGTTAACGCGTCATTGGTTTGGCACAGTGCCAAGATCATATAAGTTGGTGTTCTAATGGGCAATTTCGACCCGTGACAATAAAAAGGATATATGAACATAATAATAGTCCCTTTATATTAATCGATGATGACTTATATTTTATAGTTGACATAGGTAAGTGACTTAAAAGAGCAAAACATTTTAAACTGAGAAACACTTGACAGTAGTTTCGATTTGGTCTCAGGCTCCTCAACAGTGTTACCTGAAACCTAACCAAAGGTTGAATCTAAAACCCTGAAGCCTTCAACTGACCATTTAACCTTAAAACTATTGAATTGACTTTCAATAGTTTATTTATCTAATCCTTAATATAAATTAAAAGTTCTCATCAATTTACTTCTTCATTCAATTATAATAATTAAACTATTTAACTGCATAATAGTAAGCTTACCCAAGTTATTCTATACAAAAGTTTTGACTTAAAATTATATTATCTATTGTGGGTACTTTTTTGTTTTAACTAACTCTATTCAACAACTATTCACAATTGAATTTCAATGATGTTTTCTAACTTTGTTCAAATTAATTATACAAAATCTTATTTGTGAAGGTGGTTTTGTGGAGATTTTAGTAATTTTATATAGTTGAAATCATGAGTCAATTAAAGCTAGACCACCATGGTGAATGGTTTCTCAACTTCGTGGATTGGTTGAAGTTAGACATCAACACAATTGGATGCCGGCTCAGTGGTCTAGTGGTTAAACGCTCGCGCGAGAGACTGGTTGGTCCTGGGTTAGAATCTAACGAGGCGGGATCGTGGACGTGCACTTCTGAGGAGTTCAACAGCAGGGCGAAACGGCCGTCCAGTGTATCCAAGTTTTCCATGGTGGTTAATTGACTCATGATTTCAAGTATATAAAACTTTATTTGTTTAAATTGCATTCCTTTGTTTTAAATTGTTATGATTGAAAAGATGGAATTTTACATCTGGGCTAAAAGAATTTTTTTTCTTAATAATTGAATTCATGAGTCGATGTAAGTTAGACCATTATTAGAAATTTGAAAGCATTGAACGGCCACTTCGTCTTAGTATGGGATTACTTAGCAGTACTCATCTACGATCCAAAACGCGCGACTTGAGCTGGAGACCTTCGGTCTTGCAAGAGAACTCTTAACCTGTAAACCACTGAGCCAGCATACAACGATGTTAATGTCTAACTTCAACCAATTCACGATATTGCGTGACCGTCCATCATTGTTTTCAGTGAGTAACTGTTTTTACAACACACATGGTTGAAATCCACTGGGCACGGATTCTCACTAGAACTCCAGGATATCCATTTTGAAGCCAGGCACTAATGAACACACCATGATGTTATAAACGTATAACAATCGTTATTGTATATGAAACGTGCAATGATACAGAAAATACGTACGAGCAGTCTTGATTGCTATTCGGTCCTTCCTAACTGCCTAGCCCAGCCAGTTGAGTCCAGAACACAAATAACAGTCTCGGTAATATGAATCATTATTCACAAGCACACTGGGTTATATATACTAACCAAACAGACCCAATTATACCAAAAAATAGAAAATAACATTTGTACAGTAATTGGCCAATGTGGCTGTAGCTAGGGGGAAAGTAATCAATAATAATAGTTCCAAGGTCAAAATAAAGGTTATGATAAGAGGAACACGGAACGATTAGGTCACTTATTTAACAACTATCCAATAGGGAATAGGCATATTATATTTGTCCATAAATAGACATCAGATTTAGGTTACTCATTTAACAACTATCCAATAGGAATAGGCGTATTACAATGTCCATAAATGGACATCAGATTTGTGATTCATAATTCGCCAGGGGATACAACACATGATTATTATCAGAATGTGGTTTTGTGGATATTATAGTAATTTTCAATAGTTTAATTCATGAATTGATTAAAAGTAGGTCACCCTGAAAAATATGGAAGTACTGGACATTTGTTGAATGTGCACTGCTAAGGAGTTCAACTAACATTATATTTGATTAATTTATAAACCTATCATCATTACCAATAATGATAATAATACTATTCTTTATTCTTTTATTCATATTTTAGATTGGATCTACAAAATCTGATTCATTAGCTTTACCATATTTTGCTAAAATGACAGAAAATAAACGATTTTCAAAATTCCATTATAACACTAATGATACTAGTAATATTAGTAATAATAATAATATTGCTGTATCTGCTGAAGTTATGCATTCAGAATCACCAAAATCATCGACTACATTAAAAGATGTATTAAAAACTATACATCCATTATTTCAAAATTTACAAGATAAGCATACAATTACGTCATTATCACCATTAGATAATAATGAAAGTCATAACTCTAAACTACTGATTGATTGTCTATCAGAATATCTATTCACTTGTATGAAATTACGTTCATTAGATTTACAAGGTGAATTTGCTACATTTGTATTTCCATTAAAAAATTTCAATGAACAAGTTTGGAATAAATATGGAATCATTGATAATTGGAATGAGATATCTATTGTTTGTGCACCGAATACAAATTATGAATATGTTGTATTGGTAAATAGGTTGTTTTTTTTTCTTTGATTTCTCAGTTTTTTGTTTTGTTTTGTTTTTTTCATTTTATCAGTCAGTCAGTTAGTCAACTACAATGTAGGACGAGGCACACATATATGCATCGATCCAAGTTGTCATACCTTGTTAGCACACTAAGATGAACACCGGATTCATTTTATAAACTTTAATGAATATTAGTCTTTGATGAAATCTATAAGAAAAATCCGACTACTTCCAGAAATCGTCTATAATCAAAGGCGAGACTATAAATCATAGACGACCTTTGAATGAATCTTAAGTGACCTTGAGAAATGTTAGCCAATCAGTAAACAGTCAGTATAGAGTAAATACATATTATACAAAACCAAATAATTAAAGTGGATACAATTCTTTTATATAGTCCAAAAACTTGTCCAGGTTAGGAAAAGGTTTAAAGGTTCCAAAATCGTAATGCATCAGGTAAAGGAATTCATCCATGTGGCTCCATAATAGTTGGTCTCTGGAGCCATGATGAGGTCACAAAAACCCTCTCAGCCTTGACAACATAGCTTCATTATTGTTTGTGTGTACTCCAGTTGTGTAAGTTTATTATTTTTATTATGTATATTTCCCTACAATACTCATACCACTGAACAGCCGAAGCTTCAGTAACATCTGCGATCATTGCAATCAATGCTACTGATGCTTTTATTATTCAGTTTGCGGCAATTATTATAATATGCCTTAGTTTCAATCTGGATGGAGCAATAAAGGTTCCTATTCTAGCAAACGTCTTCCTTCAACATATATAACATCGAAGGACAACAACGTAATAGTATGCACAATGTATACAAGTCATTTAGTACTCGCAATTACAAATAAAGGAACTTCTTAGTAGTCTCATTTGTTGTAGCCGCTTAACTGTCAAGTGTTCTCTAAAATTCTCTATGAACCGATCGTACATGAGCATCAAGTACTGAAATCTACGCCATGACCTTGAAAATCTTGAAATTCTGATTAGCTCGTCCATAAATTACAGTCTCGCCTAATTAAATGTTCAACAGTCACTTATTTGTAGAGTTATTACAAAGAGTTGTAGTGAGAATTAGAGACTATTAGTATTTAGCTATTTCGGATATGAGACATTTACCCACTAAATAATATGTGGAAATGTTTGTGTCATAATGCAGACTGATTAAGTTGAGTGTGTAAGCCAATAGATGTTGGCTCCGTGGTTTATTGAACTCGAAGAGATTCTCGATTGATTTATAGACTGTCACTACCGAAAAGTTTCATGCTAAAACAAAACAGTTATCTAGTCCTTTCTGATTTTAGTACTTGTCTAACTGAAGTCAATTCATGGTGTCAGTTTTTTTGGCTATTTGAATTGTTACCATAATATATGAGTTAAGCACATGCATTGAATGACATATAACTAAACATGAATAAGGATAATTTTATATATAGTTGAAATCATGAGTCAATTGAAGCTAGACCACCATGGAAAACCTGGAAGCACTAGATGGCCATTTCGTCCTATCGTGGGACTCCTCAGCAGTGAGCATCCACGATCCCGCCTCGTGAGTTTCAATTGACTAATGATTTCAAATATATATGGATATTACTCAAAATCTCCACAAACAACCCCTATAAATAAGGATAGTTTACTCTTCATTCTATTGTAATATGTCGTAACAAGTTACAGGAACACTAGAAGATAACATATGATCTTTTGACTCTAAAGATTTATCATATGCATATACACACACACGCTCTAATTTAGTCACCTTCCACCATTTTTAATGATGACTATGAACAAAAAGATGGAATGATATGCAGTATTAATCATCCAAAGGATTTAAAATTGGATATCGAGATCTACAGTTGACTGAATTATGATTATCCCAACGCACTTTTTTAAGGGATATAATCAACTTAATGGAGATCAATCGGTCGATAACATTGAAAATTAAAATAAACAAATGCATTTATCAGTGTTTCCAGGTTTTCAATGGTGATCTAACATTGATCCGTTCATGATATGAATCTGAGAACACAAATATGTCAACAAAATAGAGAATTTGAAAAATAGTGCACACATTAGACGAAAACCAAGCCTTCAATAAGTGAAATTTGGATAATGTTTTCGTCAAAAACCAACTATCTAAATATCAATGAAGCTGAAACATAAAACTTAGCCAACCAGGTGTGAACAGATCAATTCAGGTTCACAACGCATATACTGAACCATAAAATTGTGAATCGAACTTAGATGATCCACTTTAATAACAAAAATAGGATCAGGTAATTTCCGTTAGAATAAGAAATGTGACTTTTGGATTTATATTTAGAATCGGATATAAGATTGAAGTTTAGAATTAGGATGAAGGTTAACCGAGAAACTCAGTCCCAATATTAAATGTTAACAATATACCTTGGACCTTAATCTTGACGGCAACTGTAAATTGTCAATCTTACATCCTTAAACTAGCTATAAGTTCTAATCTTAAGGCTTTACTCTTAACGCTAAGATCAAACCATTAGATTCTAAACACTAATCTTCCATTTAACCCTCATTTCAAAAATGTTACAAGCAACTTTAACTACTCATAAAAATATAAGTAGTTAGACGAGAAAGCAGAAATAATTCCGTATTTATTTTCACTAATTTAACTTAATAATTTTTTTATTGTAATACAGAATACAGCCAAAGAATCTGCACAAAAGATCAGATTTCCTACCAAAACAATTGATAAATTATTAACAAATTGGTTAGATAATCAAACTACGAAAACACCTTCACCAGAAAATCGTCATTCAATGGAAAAGAAGAATAATATTGAGAAAACTTCTGATAATAAATTACTTCATTCAATTAGTTTAGCTGTAACATTGAAAACTTTATTAAATTTATTTGAAAAACATAAAGAAGAATCAAAAGCAGAAGCAAAAAGTGATGAACAACATCATCATCATGAACAACAACAGCAATGTGTCGATCTATTTCTAACCTGTATTAAACTTAATGTTCTATTAAGTTTAAGTGAATGTTTAGATAAAGATAAATCAATTCAGCTTGATTTAACACCAGAACATATTCTACTCATCTTAACACCATCTAATTGTTTAACAATCTTTAAACAATATGAAAAAGATAAATTACCTATTACTGATAGTAATCATAATGAAGTTGTCTTGAAAGAGACTAATCTACAATCATTATTAAACGCATTACATATTCAATCTCATTCAATGAATGATAGTATAAATGATGTATTAAAACAATTATACGACGTTATTCAACATAATTACCAATCTAAAGAAATGATTATCTCTTTATTAAAATCTATTGCACCACCAGATTGGATAACAATGTGTGTAGCTAGAATATGTTTATATAATCAAACCAATTCATAGATAGACAATTCTTCATTATATATACATATATACTTTTATATATTCTTTCAATACATATAACCCATCTCATCTATATATCTATATATAGAAGAAAGAGGAGATCTTATTTTATGAACAAAAGAAAAACGGATAAAAGAGAAACTTGGTTTTTTTTGTTATTTTCGTTGATAAATACCAAATACTTTACTTTATTTTCATTCTCTTTTAAAAACAACCCCCCCCCCTCAGGTTATCTATCATTCACCATAGCAACTACTGATGAGTAGATTCTTTCATGGTTAATTTGTGCTGTTTGTTTTTTTTCTTTTTCGTTGTTGTTGTTTTTGTTGACAATAATAAATATTTCACTATGTGCTATCATCATTATATAATCATTATTATGTAATCACTTTTGATTTCTGTAATACTTTCGAATAAACTTAACTGTTCAAACTTTATTTTTTATTATTATTAACCATTTGATTGGAACAATTGTAGTAATAGTGATTATTACTAAGAATATTATTTATATTTATCTTAATTTCTATGGATTTTTTTATACTGTAGAGCTTATATGCTTATCAAAAATGCTTTATACATATATATACTACTTATATGCTACTTATTAATAATTTGCTTATTTAAAGAATTGATTTTGATGCAATAGTAGTAGTAAAAGTAGTAGTAATAGAAGTAGTAGTTTTGTTGCTTTTTAATTATTCTTGTCAATTATTTTCTTTTTGAAGAAACAATGTATGTTTATTTATTATTAAAACAAAAGTAATAAAATGAAATAAGCTATATATATGGTCATTTTGTGCTGAATGAACATTTTACTAGTCTATGCTATGGATGTGTGTATGTACTTATTATCAAAAATGCTTACTTACTTACTTACTGACGCCAGTTACCTCTTGTGGTGGAGCATAGGCCGCACACCAGCATTCTCCATCCAACTCTGTCGTGGGCAATCCTTCCAATCTCTATTCGTCCTTTGCATATCTGCTTCTATTTCCCGGCGTATTGTGTCCTTTAGCCTTCCTCTTTTCCGCCTCTCTTCAAGATTTCAAGTTAGAAATTGCCTCGTGGTTCAGTCTGGTGATTTCTTTAATGTATGCCCTATCCACTTCCAACGTCTTTTCTTAATTTCCTCTTCAGCTGGAAGCTGATTCGTCCTCTCCTATAAAACACTGTTGCTGATAGTATCTGGCCAGTGAATGTTGAGTATTTTGCGTAAACAACTGCTTATAAATACTTGTACCTTCTGGACGATGGATCTAGTAGTTCTCCAACTTTCATCTCCGTACAGTAGGACTGTCTTGACGTTCGTATTGAAGATTGAGAATTTGATATTGGTTGAGAGTTGTTTTGAGTTCCATATATTCTTCAGTTGTAAAAATGCTGCCTTGCTTTACCAATCCTTACCTTTACATCTGCATCTGATCCTCCTTGTTCATCAATGATCCTTCCCAGGTACGTGAATGCTGCTTAAGTATGAGATAAATCCATATAACTATCTGGTTATTTGAAAATTGTAGTAAAAAAATTGATTTGGAACATTCGATTTCATGTACTCTCTGAGTAGTTAGAGAACGTATAAACTTACAAAATTGTGAATAAGTATTTCTCCTACTGAGGTAGTTAAGATATGTATTACATATGCCCAACAACTTCCTATCTCTATAAGATATGTTTACTGATATAAACGAAGTTTATAAGAAGGCTAAGAACAATCAGAACAAGATATGACATCAGTCCTTGAAGACAATGACTGCTAGTCTAATCATTGGTATTAGGAGTAGATTACCTTATTAATGTTCGTGAAATTATTTTATCCAATGATTAGAAACTTTTGTGACCTGACTTATTATTAGTTGCAAGTTATCCTCGGCTTGAATGTGGGTGAATAGATCAAGGACGTAACAGATACGAAAAAACGATTCTGATATGTATTTGATATGTAAAGATATATAAACACTTAATGTTGATGTTCTATACAATCTACACTTAGATTTAGTACTGCTTCTAAATTCTATCATTTCAAATTTTCAGTAACTTATTATTTATCCTCCCTAAACAAAGTGAATGGTTATTAAACTTGGATTAATATCATAACTGAGTACAGATACTCAGGTATTCAAATACACTCGGAATCCATTGAGTGTTATAGATAAACACAGAAGCAGTGATCAGTGGAGTTCAACCAGGTCTGTTGTGAGATAATAACTCACTGAAGACATTGGTGGATGTGTTGCTCGATTTCATGGATCGGTTAAAGTTAGACATTAACAGCATTGGATGCTTGATCAGTGGTCTAGTGGTTAAGTGCTCGCACGCGAGACTGCTAGCTTCTGGGTTTAAATCTTGCGAGGCGGGGTCGTGGATGCTCACTGCTAAGGAGTCCCATGATAGGACGAAACGGCCGTTCAGTATTTCCAGGCTTTCTATGATGGTCCAGCTTCAATTGACCCACGTTTTCATATAAATAATGCTAATAACCTAACTGAAAACAAATCCAACCGAAAGACTAAGAACAAGATTGTATTGAGAAGATTTAAAACTAAGAATAATTTTTCTTAGTATGGTTGTAAACTGTCAATCTTGTGCATTAATCAGTGTACATACTTTACATCAGAAAAGTTTCCATCAATCAAGATTAGTGTAAAGATACTTAAAAGTATGAAAACAAACACACAAGAGATGTTTATTTGTTTAATAAAATGTATACTTATAGATTGAATACATGAATATTCTGGAATCAAAACTATAAGCATAGAGATAGAACTTTTGAGAAATGAAATATTATATAGTTGAGATCATGAGTCAATTGAAGAAAGACCACCATGGAAAACCTGGAAGCACTGGACGGCCATTTTGTCCTATTGTGATACTCATCAACAGTGTGTATCCACGATCCGAACCCAAGACCTACCAGTCTCGCTCCAGAGCACTTAATTGATAGACCACTGAGCTGGCCGGCATCCAACGGTGTTAATGACTAACCTCAACCGATCCACAAAATTGCGCAACTGAGGTAGATACCTGTCTCTACCAGACATAGATTGGCCCCCATGAAAAATTCATGCTATAGTTATGTTGTAGGCTACTTATATCGACATAGGTAGTATATATCGGGAATGAGGAATAGAATATCTAGCAGCAGAGGATTAAGAAACACGAGAAGAGAAGAACAGAAATGGAGAGCAATTAGTGTGGAAATCCATGATCAATTAGGTTTGAGACAATTAATGAACATATTGCAAATAGAGTATTAGAGTATGGTTTTTTTTATTTCATCAAGAAACTTTGTAATTCGTATTAGGTAAATAGTTGGTCGTCCCCATCTGGGTTCTCATTCATTACAATGTAAGCCTTAGAAGACAAAATAAAATTGACTGAGTACAAATCAGATAAGAAGTGATAAATAAAGCAATTACGTAACAAACATTTATGAACGAGGTTATCATGGTAAGGCAAGATTGACAACTGAATACTTTTGATTCAGTAAATTCTTTTTAGATCTTTTTGTGACACTTACTTCAGTAAAATGTTGTAAGTTTAATGCTTATGGTTTATTAATTATTCTGAATGATTTATATATCCATATCATGATCAAATTCAGTAGTAGTACCTTTGAAAACGTCCTATCCTTTTAGTCTAAGCTTCTGTCGAATGTGCTCATAGATTCAAATACTAATTCTTTTTTCTGTTCGTCCAATGTATGTGCTTCGGGACGTACAAGTAAAGTATTCCATACAAATAGAGGTCGTATAAATCAGGAATTTACTACCATATCAATGAGCGATGCGCTTGATACAGTGAGATAATCCTGGAATCTGGATACCTCCTTTTTATTATGACCTTCAATCTGAAATCGATTTTTCATCACTATTGAACTAAAGTTTTAGGAAGTCAGGTTTCTCCCAAACATAGAATACTATGTTTCCTTCACTTTCGTCTTTCCATAATTGGTTGCGAATTTTCGAGAGTGACCATTATTACGAAAGCAATGTCCAACTATGGTTAATTTCTCATCAGTCTTATCCTCTGAGTATAGTCTTCTGAGATGATTGGAACGTGTTTTAACCAAGGCTCTTCTATAGCTCATTGGATAGAAGCTACTGAAGTTTACTTATTGTCAAATCTGTGTGTCTTCCTCTTCAAGTGCTCTCACATGGCCATGTGCATACAACCACTGCCAGGGAAGTCTCACTCACTGCCTTCAAGCGACGGAGGTGTCGTTTATGACATTGAAAGGATGAAAAGAGAATGTACGGTGCTTTTACTGGGTTGGGGGATATGGAGTATGAACCAAGCATTCGTCACTACCTACCATGGAACTGCATCTCCTTACGTTGCTCCACTTTCTTGTGGATTAGATCTTTAAGTCAAAGATTCGGGGTGTAGCCACCTGAGAAAACCACCTGCTTCGGTTTGGGCACCCGGACAGTATCCCAGGCCTAACACAAATCACTGATAACTGTGTGGCGCATATTTATTTAGTGCCTTCTTGTACCAATGTTTATATGTTCAAATACAGAAAATGTTGTACCGCATATTATTATTTTCATTACCATCTATTCCGGGTTTTCATAAAGATATCTGACAAGAGTGAACCCAATGTACAACCCGCAGTCACTCCATTAATTTTATTTATTCTTATTATTTATGCATGGGAATGTTGTAGTTAGTCAGTTAATCCATCGAAACAACATAGTACTTTGGATCAGATGAATCTTAACATGAGCTGTTACATTTCAGATTAGCATAGCATGAAAGAAACCAATCAACTGAAGTGTACAGTAGCCGCCTGCGTGCCCTCTCAATATATAACGTGATAATACTACCAATTAGAGAGCAGTGAATTATCGATCGGACCAATGACACACGAAACCTGTACGAACAGTTTAGAGTACTTATCGGTCCCGTTCTCTGCTTAGCCCAGCCTGTTAAGTCCAGAACACCAATAACAGCCTCTGCGATATGAATCATTTATTTCAAATATACTGGGTTTATATACCTACCAGACAGACCACATTGTACCATAAAATAAGTAAACAACATTTGTACAAGATTTAGCCAAATGTGGTTGTGAATAAGGGAGATAGTAAATGATAGACAGGGCATAACTCACGAATGATAAGTCGTATAACAATAGTTCATAGGTCAAATTAAAGCTCATAATAAAGGAGATATGAATATGAACAGTTTGGTTATTTAACAAATACACGATAAAAATATATTCATAGTATTGGTTCATAAATGGATCCCGAAAGTTACCACTCACTATTCTTATCGGGACATAACAATATTCCATTGAATCCACTTACTTTTCCAGTCATCATGTTGTATTTTGCAACTAATCAAATCCATTAAACTATCAGATCTGAAATAACTAAGTTCCTTACTCTTCACTTTCTAACAATCACATAAGTTGTTATGATCACTGTATTTGACAATATCACATTTCTAGAAGCCATTTCGAAATATTTCTGCTAGTTGATTGAATTTTAAATATAACAAATATCTATCTAACTGGTAGGTCTTGCGTTCGAAACTCGCGAGGCGGTATCGTGGATGCGCACTGCTGAGTAGTCCCACAGTAGGATGAAACGGCCGTCCAGTGCTTCCAGGTTTTCCATGGTGATCTATCTTCAATTGACTCATGATCTCAACCAAGGACTTATCAGTCTCGCGTGCGAGCGCTTAACCACTAGACCACTGAGCTGGTCGGCATACAACGGTGTTAATGTCTAACTCCAACCGATCCATGAAATTGAGCGACACATCCACCAATGTCTTCAGTGAGTTACTATCTCACAGAAGACCTGGTTGAACTCCACTAGTCACTGCTTCTCACCAAAACTCCAGGAAATACCTATTAAGTCAGTCACTAGTGAGCATATGTTGATTAATATCAGAAGGGGTTTTTGTGGATATTACAAATATATGGTGGATTATATTGCCAACTGAATAATTGGAAAGTTGGACAGTCAGTATTTCAATTCAGTGGTCTAAATATGTTATGCCTAACTTGAGACCTGAAAAACCTTGAATTCATTCTTGTGTGAGCCTTTTGAACAGCTGGCTTCAAATTAGGATATAACTACTAATCCGAGCTTAAGGAGAATTGAACAAATCTTCAACAAGCACCCAAACGAAAATCATATGACTGAAAGATACTATGTACTAAATGACGAAGTCTGTGAATGATATGACGAAGTAAACCGATATGACGACAGGAACTGTTCTGGACTGAAAGCGCACGAATCGACAACAAAGTATGTTGTTAGAGTGAGGTTATGAAGACCATTGGGTTTTAATGGGAAGATGAACCAACTCAAGTTTAAAAAAATCATTGAAAACCCTGAAGCAGAACGCACCCCATGACCTTCATTCTCAAGCAGACACTTAATCTCTGAACTACTAAGCCAGGATACAAGTTTGGCTTGAACCGGTCCGTACGTACAAATTCGATTGTTTTCAGCTCGTGAATGATGAGCATTGCTGAGCTGAGCAATAGGATGAGACGAACGTCAACTGCTTCCAAGTTTTCATCAGTTGTCCATCTTAGATAGGTCCTTAATTTTACTAAAATCTTATCATTACCCGCAATGCATTGTACCTTACTTGCAACAAAGAGCCATCATACAATTATTCTAGTTCGAGACTTCACCATTAGAAAGTCGGATGAGCCCATTGTTGACACAGGAATGTAGTCCCTATTATTTGTTCGCAACTAGTAACTTTTTAAAGCACTAAACAATTAGACTAGTGAAATAACACTACAAATTAAAGTTCTGTCATGATTTGCTGTCCCTAGACTTTGATGTGTATAACTCTAAGATGAATAAGTCGTACCCCCTCCGTCAAGCCAAATGCTATTTAGAACCAAATCATTCGGCACTACATTGTCGTTATTCTGCTTATTTCCCTGTATTGAGTTGTCAATTTCAAAATTACTCTACTTAAATTTGTTCCCAACTTTCTACCTGGTGATCGCTATAGTTCAGCATTTACCTATCAGCTCATTTTGATTCGATAAATTTTCTAGATGACAAGTACGTTTTTGATCTTATGCAAATGAATTACATCTAACGAGAAACATCATCAAAAGTTCTTAGCTTAGTAATTGAAATTCATCCAATTATATCTGTCCATGTAACACTGATGTTGAAATTCTTGTTTTGTTATGATTACAAGTTCGTAGGAAATATCATCATCAGCTGTGCTAGTTCTAAATGATCAAAGTAAATAGACACTAGGATCATTTTTAAATCTTACATATTTATCTCATTATGTGAACTTAAGATTCCTTACTAGAGAAAATGTTATACAACCAAAATATCAGTCACGACTTAATCAAATTAGCAGACTTTACTATCAATAGTCCTAGAATAGTTTTATGCAGGTTGGAGGAACTAGTTTCGAAAATCGGTCGATTAGATTATAAAATGATACAGCTCTGAACAATCATTCTAGTTTATTTGATGACTTTTCATAACTATACACACATGCAACCATACACAGTATTGGACTATGGAAAAACAGTTTTCACAACAAGCCGACCTAGAACGAAATGCGTTTTAGGCAATACATAACATTCTATGGTACTTATTCATTGTCAAAGACGAGCACCTTCCCTTAACTTATGCAGATGATCAAACATACACATGTACTGGAATACCACTAAATACTCAGTGTAAAGATGCAAACAGTACCACCACCCAGGAGCTCACATCTAAGCATGTAGAAAGTTGGATTCAGACTTTAAATTGAATGAATGTAGGTGTATTTGCTTAATCTGCCACCTTACACTTTAACACAATCAATCACTGTTAGGTAGTTGGACATATTTGGCAGGAAACCCAGTTACAATTTCAGTAAGGTTAGCCTGTAATTTTGAGGATCTAATATTCTCTTTGTAGGATTAGAGAGCATATCACATAACTTTACAATCTGAGGTATTACCACTAAGTCATTCGAACCGCTACTGACTTCTTGTAAACTCAGTATCTGATAAAGTTATGTTTGTTTAGTTCTTCCTAGCACAAATCGATGAAGTTGTAGTATGGTCACACTGACTGTAGTAATTAGACACAGAGTGCACTATGCTGAGACGTTAGACTTGAAAACACAGAACAACACTAATCAACATGAAATCAAAAAACGAAAGATATTTAAACATTCACGTGTGTATGTGTTCGTTTTCTTTTTTGCGAATATATCCTATCTAACAAAATTTGAGTCAATACAAGTACAAATATGTGTAAAACTTTTGACAAGAAAAATAAATTATTAACAATAAAAATAAATTCAGTTATCAGTAGTATCTTAATCTTCATCGTCACAGTAATAGTAGTAGCAGTAGTGGTAGTAGTAGTAGTAGTGGTAGTAGTAGGTAGTAGTATGTAAAAAAAAGCGAAAAAAATAAACTCTTTACAAATTCAAAACAAAACTAACTGGGACAGAAGATCCATAATTGAAAACATCAATGGATGGACTAAATAAATAATTAGAATGAGCAATAGAAGAAACAAATAGAAGTGGAATGTTAATGAATGATTATAATTTTGTATACAAAATACAATAAATCATTTTATCAACCAGGAACTGTCCCCATGAAATAAGCAGATAGAAGGAAGTTCCCTATGAAAAAAATAAAATGAGAACGGGAAAAAGAAAAGCAATCAAATTGTGTATCAAAAAATAGAAATGGGCATAAAAGAAATTAAACGCTCAAGCTTTTAATACGAATAATTATGATAACATAGTAAAGGTACACCAATAATAACGATTTAAACTCAAGGTCTAAGGGTTATATCGCCTAAAAGCTTGTAGGTATAAATTAAATTTATAGAATGAGTCTTAAACCAAGAAGTATACACTTACTAGTACTCACCAGACGACTTTATCAACTGATGCTACAACTTTGTTTAACCACACCCCAGATTTATCCAAACTTAATTTTAAACTATGTAGGATTTTATGCTGAGATAGGTGGCAGCTAGATAAATATGACACAGGTCTCAACTAGATTAGTTGGCGGAAATCCCAAAGATTATTGATCGGTTAACTATCCCTACATAACGGCCTATATGTAACAATAAGATACAGCAAATGACCAAAGCCGGTTATAAGTACCGTAGCATCTGGTGTATATATACATTGGTTCGAGTTGCCACACTAGATCGACACAACATAGAATTATCAAAGAAAAGGTAAGAGTAGTTAATAGACGTAGTAACAATATAAGTGGGACAGGGGATAAGAACAAAAATAACAATGTAGTCGTCCAACATCAGTAAATCGAATACCGCTATCACTTACATATCATCAATATACAGAGTTTGTATGCATAAATATACACAATTCAATTGTATTTAAACGCATGGTTGCGTGAATCAACTGGACGTCGTTTAACTCGGGATAGATCAGGTGATAAATTACAATTCATTGACATGGAAAACACTTTGTAATTGATTACCTAAATTAACGAAATAGATAACAACAAGAAACAATGACTGAACATGATGAACTTTTTTAATTATTGTTTTATTCATGTGATTTTGTTTAACTGCTCTTCGTAGTTGGGGTTAGATTGGCAAATTCTTTAATGCTCAATAAGTGTTTCACAAGCTGTACATTGGATTTCAAGTTTTAATATTTGCTATTAATGTGTTATTCATCTAGCAAGTAAGTTGTACTACATTGGACATTTTTAAAGTAGATAGTTGCAAATAACCTGCGTTGTTTGAAATCAAATGTTTGGTGAAAATTAAACTTTAATATTTAACAGTAATCAACCACTACGGATCATCGTTGAACAATCAGTTGAATGGAACTCATCACTATACGTCAACTTCATCGACTATGAGAAGGCGTTTGACAGCGTGGATAGGAGGACATTATGGAAACTGCTTCGACACTATGGAGTTCCTGGAAAAATTGTCAACATTATCCAAAACTCATACGATGGACTACAGTGCAAAGTGGTGCATGGAGGACAGCTGACAGATGCATTTCCAGTAAGGACTGGAGTCAGACAAGGCTGTCTACTCTCCCCATTTCTCTTCCTTCTAGTGATTGACTGGATTATGAAGAATTCGACATCTGAGGGGAAATACGGAATACAATGGACAGCTCAGAATCAATTAGATGATTTGGACTTCGCAGATGACCTAGCCCTCCTCTCTCATACACACGAACAAATGCAGATGAAGACCGCAAATGTAGGAGCAGCCTCTGCATCGATAGGCCTCCACATTCACAAAGGAAAAAGCAGGATTCTCAAATGCAACACGGAGAACATCAACCGAATCACACTTGATGGCGAAACTCTGGAAAAGGTGGAAACATTCAAGTACCTGGGGAGTATCGTTGATAAACAAGGAGGATCGGATGCAGATGTAAAGGCGAGGATTGGCAAAGCAAGGGCAGCATTTTTACAATTGAAGAACATATGGAACTCAAAACAACTCTCAACCAATTTCAAGGTCAGAATCTTTAATACGAACGTCAAGACAGTCCTACTGTATGGAGCTGAAACGTGGAGAACTACTACGACTATCATCAGGAAGGTACAAGTATTTATAAATAATTGTCTATGCAAAATACTCAACATCCATCGGGCGGATACTATCAGCAACAGCGTTTTATGGGAGAGGACAAACCAGCATCCAGCTGAAGAGGAAATTAAGAAAAGACGTTAGAATTGGATAGGACATACATTAAGGAAATCACTAAACTGCATCATAAGGCAATCCCTAACTTGGAATCCAGAAGGAAAGTGGAAAAGAGGAAGGTCAAAGAACACACTAAGCCGGGAAATAGAAGCAGATATGGAAAGGATGAATAGTAACTGGAAAGAACTGGAAAGGAAGGCTCAGGACAGAGTTGGATGGAGAATGCTAGTGAGCGGCCTATGCTACTCGACGAGGGGTAACAGGCGTAAGTAAGTAAGTAAGTAACCACTAACCAAATGACCCGAAATTACAAGGTATAATATATCTGATAAAAGTTTAAGGATATTGAGGATAACCTGAGATCATGTGACTGAAAATAGAGTTGTCGTTCTTCAGTCTTTTTATATAATTAAACTCTGATCAATTAGTTGATAGTATTTTTATCGATACGATTAAAAATACCATTGAGACAATATCTTTTATTTATTAAGTTACAGCATCCAAATGCTTTCGTACGGTCGTGAATGGGAAAAGTCCGCTGTCCCTCTCCAAACACGCTCACATGGCCACACGTACACAGCCACTTCCACGGAAACCCTACTGACTGACCTCTCGTAGCCGCAGTGTTGTTTACGACATTGAAAGGACGAAAAGCGAATGTATGGTGCTTTAGTCGGGTTGGTGGATACAGAGAGTTCACCCAAGAAAGTTGTAAGAACCTCACTGAAAACCAATCGTGCCCAGGAGCTCCAAGATCCTGAAGGAACAAATGGAGTATGAATCAACTGTTGGTCACTGGCTACAATAGAACTGCATCTTCTTACGTTGCTCCACCTTTTTATGGATTAGGTTTTTAGATCAAAGGCTCAGAGTGTAGCCATCGAAGAGAACCACCTGCTTCGGTTTGGGCGACCGGACAATTTCCCAGCCCTAACACAAATCACCGATAACTGTGTAGCGCATATTTATTTGGTGCCCCGTTGTACCACTGTTTATGTGTTTACACAAAATAAAATTAATTAATTAAGTTACAGTATTTATTCAAATTATTAAACCAGTGAATGAATAAAAAAATTGACATAAAACAAAATAAGGTTATATTTAAGACTAATAGACTAAAATCGCGTGTGAAATCTGATCAAAATAAAACGCCCCCATGAGAAGACAACAAATACACTGAACAAGGTAGTGGTGTTGTGTAGTAGGACTGTAAATCGTGTTGTTCAAGTTGTATGAAGATTAATAAGTTTTCTTTTCAAAAAATTACTGTATAGGGTATTTTACTATTACCATTAGAATACGCCGACGACATAGTCTTATTGGGTGAAGACGCTGACAACATGCAGTCTTCTGACCACTATAAGCAACTATGCAGGCATGTTCGGAATGCGATTCTCTCCCTCGAAGTGCAAAATGTTACTTCACGATTGGGTTGCAGCGACACCTGAACTAATGATAGGGAGTGAAGTAGTTGAGCGTGTTGACTACTTCACTTATATTGGGAGTCTCATCAGCCCTTGTGGTCTGGTGAGTGACGAAATCTCAGCACGGATACAGAAGGCTCGTCTAGCTTTCGCCAACTTGCGTCATTTATGGCGTAGGCGAGATATCCGTCTAGCAACAAAAGGACGGGTTTACTGTGCAGCAGTTCGTTCCGTCCTACTTTATGGCAGTGAAACATGGCCAATAAGAGTAGAGGATATTCGTAGGCTACTAGTTTTTGATCACAGGTGTCTTCGAAGCATTGCACGTATATCGTGGGACCACCGGCTGCCACCGACTGCCCCGACGTGCAATGTTTCATGGTGTAGGAGTAGGTTGGAAGAAAGCTAGGGGTGGCCAGACCAAAACGTGGCACAAATCAATGAAGTCACTGACAAGTGGACTGGGCCATGTTGGTAGGTGTAGACTACGTGGTTGGGATTCGCGAGATGATAGCAACCGATGGTTAGAAACCTTGAATGACATGGCTCAAAATCGTTTGCAATGGCGAAGGTGCATCCACTCTGTGTTCTACCAACTTCTAATCTTCTGGATTCCTCATGTCTCTATCTTTTTCTCTTTCCAAATTTATTTCACTGTACTATACTCCTTCAATGATTTCTTCAAATCCTAATCTTTTGGATTACTGATTATACTCCTACTACTTCTACCACTATGGGATTTGAATCGACAACTGCATCTCTGTGCAAATGTGGTATGGCAACTCGAACCGATGTACGTACGTACGAAGTTCTACGTTGTGACTGACTGACGTAATAAAAAACTGAACCTATCCTGATAAACATAATCTAGGAACATTCAAGTCAAGTAGAACTCTAACGTAAACAAAAAACAAAATTGTCTTAAAAGTAGTAGGAGAATTCTCCCTATTTATAACCACACATCCGGTTAGACACAAATGCTCTGGTACGACCGAGTGTGGGGAGAGCCAGCTCTCCCTCTCGAAATGCTCTCACATGGCCACGTGTATATAGCCTATGCCAGGGAAGTCCTGTTCACTACCTTCTCGTGGCATTACTATTGTTTACGAAATTGAGAGGACGAAAAGTGAATGTCCGGTGCTTTAACCGAGTTGGTGGACAAAGCGAGTTCACCTAGGGGAATTGGAAAACCCTGATTCCAAATCAATAGTGCAGATGGGCTACAGTATCCTGAGGGAACAAATGGCGTATGAATCAATCGTTGCTCACCGGCTACCATAGGAATGCATCTCCTTACGATGCTCCACTGCCTTGTGGATCGGACCTTTAGGTCAAAGGCTAGGGGTGTGGCCCCCTAAGAAAACCACCTGTTTCGGTTTGGGCACCTGGGCAGTATCACAGCCCTTACACAAATCAAATGAGATCTGTGCGGCGTATATGTATTCGGTGCCCCTTTGTACCAATATTTATGTGTTCAAATAAATAAATAAATAAATTAGAACCATTCAGATGCATTAAATTTTTATCTTCCTTATACACACATTTTATTTCATTAATTCATACTTTATTTTCGAACCGTATATTCGATTATTGATGTTTTTTATTACAACTAATACTATTATTACCTCTGATAGTCTGGGATTCGTTCTGACAATTTTATTTCTTCGTACTAATTGAATGTAGTAACTTAAACCTATGTACACATGTCCCAAGTTCTACGTTGCTTGCTTATGGTTGAGTGACTTACGAATCAGAAGTATACTAACACAAATAAGTCTTTCTAACATGAAGGGAAATCACAGACAACAAATAAGACATTCTACAATTTCAAACTTTTAGACATAAACATATCTGAAAAATCTATAACTTATCATAAGATCAGTGGAAATAAGAAATAATTTCTCATTCACCAGGATTCTTCGCACCTGGGTGGTCGTATCACAAGATTCGTCACTAAAGCAGCCAGTCAAATAATCACACAATTATCTGTCTCAGTATCTTCCCAGGGATTTTTCCTCTAACTTCAAGGTCATTTGATTACCACATAAACATTCGTTGGTTTGTATATCAACAACAAGTAGTCGAACGCGTCGACAACTTCACTTATCTTGGAAGTCTGATCAGCCCTAATGGGTTGATGTCTGACGAAATCTCAGCACGGATTCAAAAAGCTCGTTTGGCTTTTGCCAACTTACGTCACCTATGGCGAAGACGAGATATCCGTCAATCAATTAAGGGACGAGTATACTGCGCAGCAGTTCGCTCTGTTCTACTTTACGGCTGTGAAACATGGCCATTAAGAGTAGGAGATACTAGTAAGTTACTAGTATTTGACCACAGATGCCTTAGAAATATTGTTCGCATCTGCTGGGATCACCGGGTAAGCAATAGTGAGGTTAGACGTAGGGTATTAGGGAACGATGGTAAATCAGTTGATGAGGTGATGAATCTTCATCGACTGAGATGGTTGGGCCACGTGTTACGTATGCCTGAACACCGATTACCACGACGCGCTATGATGACTAGTACTGGGGATTGTTGGAAGAGAGTTAGGGGCGGCCAAACCAAGACATGGCATCAGTGTTTGAAGTCACTAACTTCTAGTCTGAGCCATGTTGGCAGATGCAGACTACCTGGTTGGGGTCCGCGTGACTATCGTAACCAATGGTTGGAGACTCTAGGTGACATGGCTCAGAATCGATCACAATGGCGTAGGTGTATACACTCTTTATCTTCCCTTAAACCTTGAGACTAAAATTGCTTCATATCTCTCTTCCTTCCTGTACTGTATCCTTATATACAACCTATAATTTATATACTACTACCACCACTAAATTAATTACTTCTATGAATCCAGTGTTCATCTTGTTGTGCTAACGAGGTATGGCAACTTGGACCGATGCATATATGTGCCTGGTCCTACGTTGTAGCTGACTGACTGACTGGTTTGTATATCTAAAATAACCATGTGAGTAGACTTCTGTTCGGATAATTGTTTCGTATGACCAGTCCTCATTACCATACAGACATACACCCAAAAAATTATAGCTTAAAGCTGGGCTCATAAATTTGTAAATAGACCACTATAAAATTCTATTAATTAAATTCAGTCTATGGACACTTTTGCACAGTCCTGTGATGCCTGCTATTGATTGGCTGACTGACTGACCGATAGTTGTTAGTTGTTGAATATTCTCGAACTAATTAGTACAGTGTTTTAACGTAGAGTTAAAAAATTATGATCGTAATAACAATCACATAAAATAATTTACATATAAATGAATCATTCCAGAAAACTGCGAACTCACCTCATCAAAAAATCGATCCAACAGAAGATCTTGTGGACTCCCAGGACTTATACTACTGACCGAATTACAATTCTTTAAAATATAAAAGTAAAAATAAGAGCTACAAGTGAATTGAACAGAAGGGACAATAGGGAAGAAAAAGCTTTCTGATGAAAAACAGTATTTTAATAAAATACTATGAATATTTGGAAGCCTTATTTGCTACATGTATTTGGCGGTACACTTTTCAACTCCAGAAAGGAGCTAACACAACATCTGATATTATCTAGGAAACTGGATTATTGAATAGAAATAAGTATTGTATTGTGTAGAAATAAGTCAACGCAAAATGTCTTATATTAGCTTTATGCATTGGTACGTTTACCCTCTACGTGTTTGAGTTCCAATGTCAAGTCAATGTGATGTAGCTGCTGTAGAATGTAGGCTCTAACTCTTTAGTCCGTCTATCATCAAGAACGTGGGGCGTGTTGCAGATGTGCTCAGGTCACGTTACTAACTACATGAGCACGAAGAGACAACATTAATAAGATCGGTAGCAAGGAAATCGAAATAACGTACAAATAATGTTAATAAGGAGTAAGCACTGATGACATAGTTTGAAACGATAGTGTGAAAAAGTTTCAATGAAAGAATACTGGAATTCAAAATTGAGAGGAAGATAAAGAATGAATGGGACTGTATCACTGAGAACAATTGTGAACCATATCAAGTAAAGTCTTCAACCACGGATCACGGTTACCTGGCAGATCTCAATTAGGTAATCTGCTTCTATCAACATGGCTCTGACCAACAGTCAATAACTTGTAGGTTAAAATCCCACTCTTATCATTTTAGCAGCCGTGTATACAGTCTATTCAACACATACGCAAACTAAGCTAGAATTTTTGTAACCCAATTTATATGACCTCAATTCATATATTTATAGGACAGATGTAGTATAAATAGTTGTCAAACACACACAAAAGATCAAAGCCAAGTGTATACAAACATTACCTTGACTACTTAGCAACACGTTATCACCCAAAAATACTTTGTCTAGAATAACCTAAGTATTTCAGTTTTTAAGCTATACACTTACTTAAATTACAAATGCCAGATGTTAGGTATATATATATATATATATATATATATATATATATATATATATATATAGAGAGAGAGAGAGGGAAAGAGACTTACTAGTAGAATTTCTGAAAATCCATGTTCTGTAGCGAAATTCCATGTTTTGTCTTTTGTTGGTGAAGCCAGCAATGACGACGATGAAGATGATGAAAGTCTTTGACTATCGCTTAAATCAATATATACACTTTGTTGCCTTGTTGACGATGACAATGATTGTGGCATTAAACTTTTTGGTTCGCGATCATCAACACTGCCATTTGCGTAATTATTACGATATGTTAAGTCCCATGATGTTGAAGATGACAATAATGACGTTGTTGTTGATGGTGTGGTGTTTTCAAGAAACTGAACAGACGATATACATGATCTAGGCGTCATTGGAACACATGGATGATAATTACCAACTGATTGTAATTCATTTTGATGGACATACGGCAACGTAGATGGATTAAAACGTGATGTGAATTTATCCAAAGACCGTCGACTATGTGAACTAAGTAAATCGAGTTTTGTACCGATAACAAGAATAGGTGGACAGACCGTGTTAGTTAAATAGTTTAAATTATGCTGATTATTGTTACTTGTTTGTGATTCTGATGAAGATGTGAAAGATCGACTGACCAAAGTTTCTGTATTTAAGATAGGCAGATGACTGGTCATTTGATTTGTTATATTTGCTTTTAGATTACCATATTTTTCACTACTTACACCGCCACAATAACTACTACTAGTAGTAATAGTACTAGCGATACCATCTGCTGCCGCTGTTACTCCTCCAATATCTGTCTCCAGCCTATATTAGAAGAAATCAGGTTCATACAACAGAAATTATAACAAGTAAAGGATATAGAAAACGAAAGATTAGTATGAAAACTACTGAATGAATAAAAGAAGACTTTAAAACAGACTGGTTTGTCAAGAAAATGTTATGTATACATTTCTTGGTCGTTATCCAACGGAGTATTTTAGGTTCAATTCATTTGATTATACAATTTTGGAGATAAATAGTGACCAGGAATACAGGCTAGATAGTTCTCATCAGTCAAACCATATAACAAACACTTCTAAATGTCCAAGTACTAAGCTGTTCATACCAAAAAAGGCTATGCACCTACTCTAATCACAGAAAATCAGACTATAGTTTGAATTGAGAACCTTACTTTTGTCAGCCAACCACTTTATACATATATATACGTAAAGTTTTATAATTCACGAATAGGTGGGTAAACAATTTTTTAGTCTTACCTCTTTAAAACTGGTTTCCTTAATACATCAGACAACCATTTTCTTAGATTCAATTGTGATTTCTTATTTGTACAATCGTAGACTAATATTAGTCCGTGTAAATTTTGATAAAAGATTGAACGAGTATTTTCATGACTCTTTGATCCACCAATATCCCATAATTCAATAAAATATGGATGCTCCTTTTCGGGATCACTATTATACAAATGAATCTAATTTAACAAAAGCAGAGTGTAAGTGATAAATCAATTAACTGAAAATTCGACAACTTTTATATCCACACTACAACCAATTGTGTACGAAGGATGAAGAAGAGTCTGTCGATTGCATATTAAGTGTACCAGAGCTGTTTTACCAACACCTTTATAGAAAAAATTTATTACGAAATGTATGTACTGGTTTAAAAAATGATTAATTAATCTACTTACCGGAATCGCCTCCTACGACAACTTTTGCTTTTTTAAACTCCATGAAAACAAATCTATGGATGAAATTTAGAAAACGGACTGCAGGAGAATTTACCCCGTCCAGTTTCACTGAGGCTTTTTATCTATTAGCATTGTGATATTTAAAGGATTTGAAAGCTGTTATCTAAAATTCTTCGAAAATGAAACCTGTCTGTGCAAAAAAATTGAAACAATTTACTATTACTCATTAATACAACCTTTGATATATTTAGTACTCTTTATAGAATCAAATGAAGTGAAGTAAAGTCACTAAAATCCCACTGACCCCCTGCCGAAATATACATCAGGCTAAACCGTTAGTACATTGAATTATTTCTCGAAGATCATCAAGCTCGAGGATGACTCCATAGAAATGGAACATGCAGCAGTCCGTCATTCCTTTGTATTTTATCTCTCCATTCTCTTAGCATTCAAATAAATCATTTCTGGTGAGATCCTATTTGTTATGCATAGAAGAACGAAGTAAGGAACAACTTATTTCAAAAGTCAATTACCTCGCTAATCCGTACCTAGGTTATTCCTAAAGCACTATAATAAACAGAATACCAGGTTAGGAAAAGTCTGTGACTGAACGTGTTTGGCACACATGCTAACCACTTAAAGAAGATTTTACAGACCGACATTCCATTTAACACTAATATCCTAACGTGTGAAATAAGCGATGACTACTGGAGTGTAGAAAGGCAGTTATTGGCTGGATTGACTCTAATAAAAGGTCATATTTAGATAGTTCCTGTGGTCTGTTTCACATTTTTCAACGAAAAACTAGTCATAAATCCATAGTAAATAATCCATAGCTAATATTCCGGCAATCAGGGACTATGCTATCTCAATTGACTGGTCGGTCGATGCTGATGGATCGATTGATGATGCATGGAATAGGTTTAAGTCTACGTTCGAATCCGTAACTCAACCGTTTATCCCATGGTCAGCACGTAAGTTATCATATTGCCCTCCATGGATTAATAAGGAAACCCGGAAGCTGTTGAAGCGTAGGAAACATTTCTGGGACTTATTCTTGTCAACAGGTCAGGCATCATTTAAGTGCGAGTATAAAAAAATCCGGAATATATGTAAAAAGACCATAGCTAAATCCCGCACGGCTTACGAACGACAGTTGGCATACGATAGCCGTACCTGTCCGAAGCGACTGTTTTCGTACGTTAAAAGGCGGACGAAACGTAGTGATGGTATCCCCTCATTACTGTTAAGCGAAAATTCAGCTTTATCGGCTGAATCTGACCTAGCGAAAGCGGAGTTATTTGCTAACTATTTCAGTGAAGTCTACTCTACGTGTAGTGTTACAACTACTTGTCCCGTTGACAATGATACCAGCCATAGGACCTTTACACGTGACAGAGGATATAGTTCTTCCTTTGATAACTAACCTAAAACCTTGTAAGATACCGAGCCCCGATGGGTTACACCCACGTTTGCTGTCGTCGCTTGCGGACATTATCTCAAGACCGCTCACGATGCTCTTCAACATGTCCCTTTCACAGGCTCAACTACCTAGAGACTAGAAAGACGCCATAGTTAGTCCTATATTTAAGGATGGTCAGAGACGGATAGTATCTAACTACCGGCCTGTTAGCCTGACCAGTATAGTAGTTAAGTTACTTGAAAAATTAATTCGGGCTAAGCTACTGAGCCACATAGATTCGTACAATCTGTTAACTCCCGAGCAACATGGGTTTCGTAACAAGCATTCATGCTTGACTAACTTACTCATTGCGAGAGAGGATTGGACAGCTGCCCTGGACAACGGCCAGTCTGTCGACGCGATATTTATAGATTTTAGCAAAGTGTTTGATAAGGTTTCACACTTAGGTCTTATGCAAAAGCTCTCGAGCTTTGGTATAACAGGTGCTATACAGGAATGGATAGGAAGCTTCTTATGTGACCGCAGACAAAGAGTGAGAGTCAATGGAACTCTATCCGAATGGAAACCGGTCAGAAGTGGTGTATCCCAAGGCACCATCTTGGGTCCTTTACTTTTCCTTCTGTATATTAATGAACTACCTTTATTACTTAAGTCGTCGACGTTATTGTTTGCGGATGATGTTAAAATCTGGAGAACAATAAGAAATGAGACTGATCGTTGTTATCTACAAGCAGATTTAGACGAATTAGTTAGGTGGGCTCATGATTGGAGCCTGGAAGTTAATTCCAGGAAGAGCGTGTTCATGCACATCGGGCACGATATTAGTTACTACTATACCATTGATGTTACATCTCTGCCACGCGTTCATGCGCATAAAGAGTTAGGAGTAACTATAAGTCACGACTTAAAAACTACTACGCACTGCAATGCGGTTGCTTCCAAAGGCTACCGAGCGCTATGGTCGCTTTGCAGAGCATTTAAATGCTTTGACGAGGATATGTTTCGAATTTTATATCCCACCTATGTAAGGCCACACTTAGAATACTGTATCCAAGCAGCTAGCCCTTGTCTGATAAAGGATACTAAATCGCTCGAGCGTGTCCAGCGTGTAGGGACAAACTTAGTAGAGGGTCTTTCCAAACTCCCTTACGATGAGCGTTTAAAACGCCTAAATCTTTTCCCCTTATCTTATCGTAGGACGCGAGGTGACCTTATACTGGCATTTCGTATCTTTAATTATGATCTGGGTGTTAATATGTCTTACCTTTTTGCTCCCTCCAGCACTAATAATCTCCGGGGTCATAGCAAGAAGGTTCTGAAACCGCGATCTAATAAACTAAAGGTGGGGTCCTGTTTTTCTCATCGAGTGGTCAATGACTGGAACGCTTTACCAGAACAAGTGGTATCAGCACCATCAGTGAACACTTTCAAAAAAAAGCTGGACCTTCACTGGAAGGAAATCTGTCAGGATTAACACAGGTTCATCAACCTACTATCCTTATTACTGAAGACTAACATATTCATTCGAATCAACCTTTTCTCTGAGAAATAATTGTAGAATTTAAGGGTGAAACTACAATTTCTGGACGACCTATGAGCGATGCTGGTGCGTCCTTGGAACGGCTCATCTACTTACTACGGTGGAAAGATTATATTTTAGAATTAGGAATAAGAACCAAGATTTAAAGTTTGAATGTACGGATAGGAATAAAAGTATGGATTTCCGAAAAGATATTAATAACACTAACGAACACTTTAGGCAAACACTCCACAATATTCCAAATAAACAAGCCCAACCAACCAGGCAAACGTTACCTGTTTTCCGAAATTACTTAGCTTTTTGAGCTGTGTCAAGGTCACTTCAATGTTCAACTACTCTGTAACGAATCTAACCACTTAGCCGCATGTGTCATACATTATTCCGTAGCTGTTTGATGTATCTTAATTTTAAGAAAAGCCGTTTGTTATAGGACACTGCAGTTACTTAAACCAAATGTAACAATGTTACCAGCCTGATGAATGGTATGAAATTGTAAAACTAGGATCCAAAGTAGAGGAAGGTAGACAGCCAAAAATAAATAAATAACTCTGGCGACAAAAGGGAAGTGGGTCAAGTGGCCTATTGATCATGATAATAATAATAACACTAACTAACCACTAGACATTTGGCAAAAAGGTAATCTGAGTTATTAAGCGTCTTTCCTCCCCCAATAAAACTCCACACCAGTTGCATGCATGAGTTGTGACCTGCTAAAACCTGGGCCATAACAACTACAACGGACCTTGTTGATTATTCTTTTGGCACATTCTTGACGTTTAAAATTTACCTAGAATACCGTTACATTTACCTCAAATCGACTACTATTATATCTTAATATCGGGATGACCTTCAATTTTTTGGCAGGAATGTACCTTGTGATTAACTATGTAGTGTCATGTACTACGTCAAGTCCACATGGGTTATCATAACTTCCGGACGAACCAGTTTATTCATTGTTCTTAGGTCATATTTTGACCCTACCAACTACTTGCCTATTAAACTTGACTGTTTTTGTATGAGCGTGTAGATGGCGTCGAGTCGCGATTGACTATGATCACCACTTCAATAATGGACAACGGAACGCGAAGTGCTTTAAGTACAGTCTAACAAACAAGTACAGTGAAACAATTACTGGTAAAATTGGTTATAATAATAATTGTTTCATTACACCAACCACGTTCTCGTCAAAAAAGTAGTTCATTACAAATGTTTGTAATTGTGTTTCTTGCCTTATTCATTATATGTCTGAAACTATGCTTGTTTGACCATAAATATTGAGTCATGCTTAGTCACATCGAGTTGATTCACTCGCGTTTTCCGCTCTACCTCGCTGTCCTTCTTCTTATTCTGAGTGTCTGTTTTGACAAACGAATGCTTGCAGCGAATTCCTCCAAAATAACCAGTAATTGGCTTCTTATCATCACCGTCAAGCAAACGGAGTTAGTCTAGAAAATATACAGAGTTAAACAGAGGTGTAGCAAAAAACAAATCCCCAAAATAAACGATTCTGCAGGTTTTCCACATTGCTGATGACCTCATTAGTCTAAGCACGCCTAGCTGAAGGCATCCGGGCGCACACCCACATCAAATCACAAGTGAGTACTTGTGATTCTCTTACCTTGCAACTGTTATCCAGCTTCTCTACATATCGATGGCTTTCCGAAAATGTCTCCGAACCCCATCACTTCAGACTTGACAGGGTTTAGATTATTAATGTGTAACGTTCAATGGCGTTGTCAGACTCCGAATACCTGTGATTACCTTGGAAGACTTATATTCCTAGCATCCTCATACGATCTAACTAAGGCCAGATACCCGGAATCTAAAGTGGTCAGTTCAACTTCGAACTAAACACAAACTGTAAAACTACATAGACGATGAACGATTCGAACTCTCTGCACCCGGTTGGTCATATAAGCAGTTGACTCAGTCGACGAGCTACTCAAGCAACTCAATCTGTTATCTGCGAGGTCAGTACAGTAGGGGAGTGGAAAAGCTCAAATCATGTTATCTTGTCCTTTAGTCAACTCTGCCTAGCGGGTGATTCCATTATAATATAATAATTAGTATATTCTCGTTA